CGTGTTCAATAAGTAGTCCTTGTTAGATTTGTATATCTCTATGCTATCATGAAGCTATCCTGCATTTTATTTTTAGTTCTTTTATAACCTTTAGATCTCCCTCGGTAATTTTATGATCCGGTTCGTAAATGTGTTTGACAACCATTGAATCGAAATTCCTTTTAACTCCTAGTTTGCACGTTTAATTTGTGCTATATGTAAAATTTGTCGCAACAATTGTATTTGATTTTATATATACATTTTTTCATGTATTTTCAAAATATCCTTGGCCGAATTATACAAGTTCCTTAATTGATATTTATTGCTGGTCTCATATACAGATATTGTGTTTTTTTAATTGCTTACTTATCAAATTCGTTGAACAATAATCATTATTTATTTTCCGAAAATTATCCACTATTGCGAAAAGATATATAATATACCGCATCCGTACCCTAGGCATCGGTCCTTCTTCGTCCATCTTGTTTTCCAATTTCGACATAAATAGTTCGATAAAAAGTGATGAAACTGAGTTGTCCATCGACACTCTCGACGTTTTTTTTGTACATCTCGTTTCTAAATTCAAAGCAGTTGCGTTTTAGGCAAGTATCAAGTTCTTCAACAAACATTTTTGAGTCTGTTTTAAAATTTTTTAGATTAATTTTAATCAATTGTTATCTATTTAAGGCTACTCAAGTATGTTGAAACAAGTAAGAATTACAGGGAATTAAAGTGCTCTGTTTGTAAACATATAAATATTTAATTACAATATTATAGAAAAAGTAAGGTAAATTATTATAGCAACAGTATACGAAGGGCTTGGCAATGAAATAGAATATTTTTCAAGTTTTCTTTTAAATATAAAAAAATCTCAAACTAGACCCCCGGTTTATTTTTTTTTTATTTCGGGATTTGTAAATTCTTGAAATATTACGACATACATAATATCGCGGAACATTCTTTATACAATACATACAGTATTGGTATTTAATTTTATTTATTTTTTATATTATTATAAGATTCTTGTGATTCTTGTGAATTTGTTTTTATTTTGTGTGTTTAATCTTTATTTGCGCGAATCAGCAGTAAAATGTAGTTGTTTTTTTTTATGTTTTTTTGTGCAAATTTCGGAAATACATAAATATTTTTTTCTTTTATTTTCATTGCTAAGAATTCCTGTTTGGAAACTTAAAACCTAAAAGAAAAAATAAAGAGAAATAAATTTTTTTATTCATGTTTTTTTTTTGTTATTTTATGGTAAAAAACACATTGTGCTTTACTCATCTCGCATATTTTATTATGTACATATGTGAACATATATGTGCGTTAATTTTATTTATGGATGTCCTTTTCTGTTTATCGCTTGCAATTCGCATTAATTTTGCCACAACATATCTTATGGGTCCTTTTTCCGTATTTTGTATATTCTTATTTGAATAAGAAAAAAAAAACTTGAAAAACAAGTATTATGTCCGGGCTGAATAGTGTACATATGTATGTACATACATAATATACTAACTTGATTATGAATAGATTACAAATATGGTTATGTAAATACCTACATTATAACTATAACGTACAAGAGTTAGTTTAAATATAAAAAAGCGAATAAATTAAACTAAAAGAATTCGCGTAAATTATTACAATAATTTTGTTTTGATAATCACAATATGTATATTTTGTATATTTATTGACATACTATACATACATATGTACATATGTTTGTATAATAAAAAGATATTTGCCAAAAAAAATAAAGATCTCACGTGCAAAAATAAAAGAAGACACACAAAAAAAAACAAATTTTTTTTTTTTTTAATTAATTCAATTACATACTTACATACCTACATATTATAAAAATTTTTCTTTTTTAAATGCTTGATCCTTTTATTCCGAATTTTTTTGGTAATAATTCATTAAAAATGCACATATTTAATAATTGCCCTGAATGGCCATTTAAATTTTATTTTGTATTTTAAAATTCCCAATTCAATACTTGAAATTCGTGTATATTTATGTATGTATGTATGTACCGTGTTTATATCCGTACAATTGTCCATTTTCTGATCAAATATCCATAAAAGTAAATCCATAATATTCTTTTTTATTTCGGGAAATAAAATATACTTACATACATATGCATGTACATATGCCCACTTTATGTTCAACTTAAAGAGAATATAAAAAAATTATTTCCCGCCAAATTTAAAAAAAAAAAAAGAACAAAAAAAATTCGCAAAGTTTTGCATCTTTTTTTTTTAAACCACAAAAGTATAATCATAAGAAGATAAACAGTAGAGTACTTTTAAATATGTATGTATAATCCTCTCATAAACTGGATCAAGTTTTATATTTTTGATCTTCATATAGGTACGAGTACCTACTAACATTTTGAAATAAAATTTGCAAAGATCGCGAATAGTATACTTTTGAGAACATTATCTTTTTTGCATTTGTTAATCTTAATAACATAAGAAAATTTAACGAATAAACTGAATATTTTTCCAAATAAACGTTATTATATAATAAATACCTATAGGTATATCATATATGTATGTATTTATTGTGTTTCTCAACAATTTCTAAAAGCAGTTAAGAAAATCATTGCAAAAAAAAAGACTACTATTTTGCTAAAAAGACAACAATAAGAATATTAAGAGAAAATTGCGACGGACGATTTAACACACATCTGCTTATACTTTGTGTAGGTACCAAAAAAAAACTACACTATATTAAAGAAAAAAGACCAAAAATCCTAAGATAGTAAATGCTAAGACACAAGTCGTGTTTTTACACTTTTTTCATATACAACTAATTCTACTTAAAAGAATTTTTTTTTCGAAGAAAAGTATGTATGTGACAATAGCTGCAACTTATGTTTTAAAATGGCAAATTCATATTTCTCCAAAAATTTTGAGAACGACTAACCGAATTGAATAAATCGGACGAATTAAGTAACATTTTAAACTATGATCGGTGAATCATTTCTTTCGTCAGATTGAACACAGAATAAGAGCAGAACAGCAAATTCCGCTTTTCGTATTTAATATAAAATGTCACTAAAATAATCGCCACCGATAAAATAAATTTTAGGTTATTTAAATTCGCTTTGGTAAATTTGCTTCATTTTAGATAGTCCCATTTATATATTATGTGCATTCTATACGAATTTTGACATTTCGCTTCGGAAAGTGGGCCTTGTTCTGTTTTCATTTGCTGTAAGCTTCTTAAGCAGAATTTTCATTTCACAGTCATACGTTTAAAATTCAGGCGAATTTACCAATCGTAAGTAACAAAAATTCATATTCGTCAAAATTATGTCATACGCCTCGCTGACCATGGTCGGATCACAATTTTTGTTAATACGTAAATTTTTCAAATTTTTTTATTGTTCTCTATACATAATCGTTTTATCGAAATAATTGGAGCCTTTTGAAGCGTAAATTTCTTTAATATCGTATACAATATCGTAATTTATGTAAAATTGTATTCATTTTTAATTAAGAAATGTAAGTTATTGACAAGCAAAACTGATTAATACGATCGCCTCATTATAAAATGTAAATTTAATCAAGACTATATTTAAAATAACTATTTTCCGTTTTGTTCCAAGATTAAAGTTAAAATGTTTTAAAATTTTTTGAATGTGATCGGAATACTTTCATATAAATTTTCAAAACGATTATCCTCTTTTTAAGAACAATTTTACAAATTTACAGCTTATACAAAACTAAAAAATTCGTTTTCCTTTTCTTGTCGAATTGATCCCTTCTTAATTTTTGAAAAAGAAAGAAAATATTGGAATGAACATTATATTATGTATTGTCTTTTGTTACCATTTAAATTGCTTCGGAAAATTTATATTTACCTGGATATATATCAAAAGGTGATTCGAATACATATATACGCACATTATTTAGGTTTAATTGGAAGTTGAATATTATTTATAAAATTCAAACTAAAATTGCCTCTTTAATTTAAACAAGACTTTATTTTTATTACTTTATAAAAAGTAATCCAAATCAAAATACATCCACAATCAAGAAAAAAGGATGCTGACATTATTGTTTTAATTTTACCTTTTTTACATTTTGCAGATTAGGGAAAGAAAAGAAAGTTTTCAATTCGATTTAATACCCAGCACAGACTAAAAATATAAAACATGCGGAAATTATATGTATACACATACAATATGTACAAATGAATGTATGTAGGTATATACAGTATCATGACTGTTACGAAGTGTTTACTTTCTTGGATTCTTTGTGATTTAGGTGATCGAATCCTTTTAATTTATTACAATAGATGTATTAGAACAGAATTTTACAGTTCTGTAACAATAAGGAAAAACTGACTGAGCTCAACTTAATGTGATATTGAGGATATTATATTTGAATTTTTATTTATTTAAATCTATATAATCCTTCAAAATTTTCTCTAATTCAGAATATCGTAACAGATTTTCTATATTAGAATAAAAGTACAATTGTTCATTAAAGTAATAACCGAAACTTTACGAACTCGGTTTTATTCCTTTCTCTTCAAAAGTACCTTTAAAATCTTTAAATTTTCGAGTTACTAGTTTTTATTGTAAAAGTGGTCTTCGAAAATTGTTAAATTCAATAATCAATACATATTACAAAATCTATTTATAAAAGTAGTATATTATCGTGATATGTATTAGTAGTAAAAACTGTCCAATATTTATCCAAACTGTCAAAATTCAAAAATTATAACTCAGCTGTTTTTCGATTTTTGATTGAAAATGTGTACTTTTTGTACGGTAGTCCATGTATCATATGTTTATGATTTTTTTTCCACAAAAATATATTGCACATACAACATTATTGTTTTCCTGTTTTGTATTAACATAAATTCATATTCAATAAATTCAACATTTGTAATTCATTTTATTAGCAACGTTTAATATAATTTGCACTTAAAAGCCGAAAAAGGACTACTCCCAAAATACATTTTAATTTATTAATTTTTCAAATGCCTCTAGAAAATAGTGAACTTACTTGAAATTTTTCAATTTGTTTTGAATTATCACATTTATCACTCAATTACTTATTAAAAAACTATTTACAATTAATGGATATCTGCATTAACCCAAATATAAAGAACTCAAAGATAAGATAAACAAATCCGTGCCAAAACAAAATTGAAACGTCAAGAAATTAAGTTATAAATAAAAAGAAAATCTAAAATTCAAAACAAAAGACAGCAAGTCAATTTTCTTTGTGTCAGGGGTGTTTTTTTTACATCGTTGTGTATAAATTTTTGCATCATTAAAATAATTTGCTGTATCAATCATTGCCACTTTGCGTCAAATTGAATCGTTTATGATATATTATGTAATTTCCAAAGTGGCTCCGTGAATTTATTTTATTTTACTCACAATTGGCTTTTGTAAAAGCGAAATATTGTATAAATCGCAATTATTAAAATTATTTAATTTTTTGACAAGTCGTATTAATTTTAACATATATTTTATACTAACTTAGTTATTTCTTAATCATTTCATTTTAAACTAGCTTTGAAGCTTATTATTAATATTAAAATTGAAGTAAAATGTTTTTTAATATTTGTTTCATAAAGAGATCCAATTATAAAAATATTTAAAAATGATGAAAACTTCGTATGTCAAATAGTGGAAAATTAAACCGATTTGTATCATGTTAAATTTTTATTACATAAAGAGCAGCAGCGTTTTTTTTCGTTTTTATTGGGGGTTCAATAAAATTTAATAGGTAGGATGTAATTTTAGCTGTCTGACGTTTCATCAATACCTGTGTTTACACAACGACCTTCGTATCAGATCTAAGTTAGTCTTTCATCAAATCTAAGTTTTGTGCATGTAGTTCTACTAACACTAATTAGGAACTATGCATGTACTTCTGTAAAAATTGGTAACAAGTCAGGTTGCTGAATTAATCTCCTAAATTCACCGTTAATTGAAATGACTTTTTCGTTCATTTTCGTGGTGAATTTTTCTTATACGGCAACTCGGATGAGTTTCAAATTGTAACAGTTTGCAAAATATTAGAGAGCAGTATTTTTATTTTTGTTACGATGGCAGAATAACTAATTAAATTTTTATTAAATAATTGTTATTGTTATTGTGTATTATTACATGTATAATATTCACATTTTATTAGTTTTAAAACCTATTAAAATATATATTAAAAAATTTTAATTTTTTTATATTTTTTAAATTTATTTTAGTTAACTGAAAATGCTAAAGTGGACAATTCAAGGAAATACTGCCACTTCGTCCGTCAGAAATGTTAACGTTTATGGTAATAAAATATCTGATAGAGACGTATATATAAAAAGGCGACATTCGACAACGTTAGACTTATCACAATCAAATATTGAACATATAACCAAAATTAATGAAATTAGAAATCGTCGTCGCACTATAGGCTTTACTGTTAAACAAAATTTACGATTAGAAGAGAGAAATAAAGAAAATGCAGATGTATTTTTCCGTCATAATCAAACTACTAATAATATAAAAAACTTTAAAATGTTAAACACTGAACAATCTCCAAACCGAACATCAATTTCATCTAGTCCGAAAAGACCTAAGCTAGGACATGCTGTGAAATTAAGGTTTGACCCAGATTCGAACAAAGATTCACCTCAAAAGAAAAAAATATTACCATTTACATCGCCAATCTTTCGAAAAGAAAGTTCATCGCATTCCAACAAAATAGCAAAAATTACACAAATAGATTCTTTAGCACAAAAAAGTAAGAATACTTTAATTGAAGAATCTTTAAGCTCTTCAAAAATTGGTGATACTACGTTAGATAAAATGTTGGATGCAATCATTAACAGTGCAAAAAGTGAACGAAATGTACAAGTAAGTTATATAAAACCAATAAAGGAATGTTATAAGAACAATGAAAACAACAATTATATCAATGACTCTTTAAATGATTTGTATAATGATGTAAGTGTACACGAAATGGAAGTCAAAACACCGCCACATTTAAAACGTCAAAGAGTCGTTAGACGTAAGCACAAAATGCAATCCTCATTATTAAAAGATCAATCACAACAAAAAGAGAAAAAATTAACTGGCTTAACATTAGCAAAATCTATACCTAGCCCAAAAACACCAGAAGAAGTTTTTTTTGATCAAAATAAAGCTGAAGAATTAGCTAAATTAGACACCCCACAAGATTGCGTTGCAATAACAGATTTATACCCACAAACAAGTGAATATAAAAATCCTCAAGGATTTTCAACACCAACTAAAGATAAAACTGATTCGATAAGAAGATGCTTAAAATTTTCACCAGATTCAGATGAAGAATATTTTAGTAATAGTAAAAGAAGCTCCATAGCAAGTTCAACGACTTCAAGTTGTCGTACACCATACGTTAAAGGATCATTAGATTTAGCTATTTTTTTTGAAAATAACAAATTGAATGTACACGGTAAACAAAGAGTAATTTTTTTTGATTTAGTTAATTAAATTCAAAAAATTTTTGTTATATTGTAGTAATTAGATGCCGCGAACTGCAAAGAACGAACGGAAGCATAAATATAAATGCATATGTTAAAGCAAATTTAAAAATAAATCATCGGATACAGGAAAATGTTTGTCAACGTACTGCTGTTCATCGAAATTCTAACCGCCCTTACTTCAATCATAGATTTAAATTCATATTAAAAAACAATAATCTAGATGAAATAGATAATGGAAGAATTGAATTGACAGTTTGGCATCGTGATCGCAATTTGAAGTGAGTATGAATCGCCAATTTCACGAACCTATTTCTTAGATACTATATAATATAGCTTTATTGTATCATTCATATTCTGTATTGTTAATTATTGTGGAATATTTCAATTTAAACGAAATCAGAGTCGATTAAATTATATTGTTGTTGTTAATTCGAAAACCCAAAAATTGCAAAACATGGCCGTTGTCCCAAGAATTTTATCTAATTTAGGTTCAATTTAAGAAACGGTTCGAATAACTTATATACTATTCTTAAAATAATTTAGTTTCCAAAAATTAACCTGGACATTTGGTTGTATAAGAAGTAGTAATTAGAAAACTATAAAGGTGTTCAAATTTTGTATAAAGAAGTTGGTTAATTTTTTGAAATTTCTGAATACAGTTCTGTTCCCACCTTATAAATTCATGTTTTCTGAATATGTCATAAAGCACTATTAAAAAAATGACATTGTTTTAGTTTTGATATTACATATTTGGCGTGATTACGGAATTCACAATCAGTAGTTAATTAATTTACAAGATTTATACGGTTTTTGATCCATTCTAATTGAACAATTTCTGGGGCAACATATCATATTAATTTAAAAATTGATAACAATGTACCAAGTGATTAACAATATTAAATGAAATTTTCACAATCCTTAGAGATCCTTAGAAATATTGTTATGTAACATAATCAAATACAATTTTCATTGAAATAAACAATGAAATTTTTTCATATAACTGCAGAAAAATTTTTTAATTTTTCTCCTCGAACTACCGCTTTCCAAGCGGATGCTCCATCAACTGAATTGCAGTGGTATGAAGAAATTGTTAGCAAATATTGTTCTCCACATTATTTTTTATTATTTTTATGATAAAATTTTCAAATTTGTGAATTTATTTTTTTTTTTTTGTTTTGCTTACAATTTGTATAACTTACTTGCACAAATTTCGATCAAAGTTTTATTTTAATATGTTGACTTTATTGCTCAAAACAATAGGGCTTCAGTTACAAATCGTCGTACCATATTGAGAGAAGTTATAAAACTGAATTTTTTTTCAATTTTTTTTTTTTATGTAAAAACAAATTAAATAAAAAGTTTTCTATGCGGGTAAATTGAAAAATCTAATAATAAAAATTCTAGGATTACAAAAAAATGATTTTGCGCATTTGGCGCTTTCAGACGTACGAACGAAGAGCATACGAGAAAAAGAGTATAAAAACTATATATAAAAATCAAAAGTTAATCTCTATTTGTCGTAAAAATTTATTTCATCGGTTGTCACAAATTCCCCTACTTTTTCAAAAAATGTTTTACTAGGAAAATATTTGAGCATTATTAATGGTTTCGTTGGGGCCTTTTTGGTATTATTGTTCTAACGGTATGAAGCGGTTTACCATTTCATTTAAATTTTAAAATATTAGATTCCTCTATTTCATTTTTAAGTTTTTTATTTGTATTAAATCTATAATCGTCACACAATTTATATCAACTGTATATTAACGAGGATTAAAACTGGGTATTACGAAAATAACGGAACTATTGTTTACGGGATGAATTCTTAAAAAAAAACGTGATTATACTTTTGAACTTTTAATCTTAAATCTTATATAATGCAATATTATATGTTTATCATAAAAGTCAATCTATAAATAATTAATATAACATATAATTAATTAATTTATTAAATATTATCAATATATATTTATGATATTAAATAATTATATATATTAGATAAATATTAAATCTGACCTTTTTTGAATTTAAATCTGACTGTTTGATTGCTTTTTTGTATTTCATAGGTTTATACTCAAACGTGCACGCATGCAACTGTGTGATAACATGTAATTAAGCAAATAAACCGTTTTTTACAAACTGTTTACAATTTTTAGTGAACGTAATCGATTTGCATTGACGCAATAAATTTAGTTGCTTAGATATAAGCGTAATTATTTTAAAATCAAGTAGCAGCAATTGTAGAATTACATGTCGGCCTGGGGCTTATTTAGTAACAATATTATATTTATGTAAATTTATATTATATTCACTATAAGGAACAAACACACTAAGTTCTCCTTCAAATTTCTTCGCAATCATATAATTTCCTATAATCATACAATTTTTTCCAGTCAAATTATTTTCTCCAATCATACAAATTGGTCCAATCATACAAATTGGTCCAATCATACAAGTTTCTCCAATCATAAATCACATTGTGTTTGTTCCTGAGAGATTTTTACACAATTTTATTTCAGTTGTCACTTTCTCTTTGAATATTTTAGTTGCATTGTATTTTATTATATTATTTGTATTGTATATTTACAAAATTTAGCTACCATATTTCCCCGCCGATAGTGGTGGTGTTTTGAAAAAAAAACGACACACAATTTCGTTAAAAAATCCATATTCGTTAAAAAAAATACTAAAAAAAAATAACGTTCTATACAGGTTGCATTTAAAGAAAAATTATTATTTTCACCATTCTTAGTTTTTGTCATTGCGCGTTCAGTCACTATACCGTTACAAAATACAAGAGACACAAGAAAAAAATTTTTTTTTTTTTTATAGAGAAGAAAATAAAGAAAAAAAAAAAAGTTTTTTTTTTTTCATTAATTTTAAAGTATTAAAAATTAATTAAATTAAAATTTTCCTTATTATTAAAAAAAGGAAGCTCATATTAAAATTATTAATTTCCGGCCTTAATTATTTTTAAATTATATAATTAATTAATAATAAAAATACATAATACATTTATTAATATATAGTTATATAGAAAATAATATATTTTCAATTCAAGGAAGAAAAAAAATGTACCTATATGTATCTTTTAAAATAAAAAAAATTTTGAGTGAAATTTTTAGAAAAGTCGTACGGGAATTTAATATAACAAATATAATATAATACAGAAGTAACATTAGATTATGCATCTACATAATGTAGAATATATTATAATACATAGATAAAAAGTATATTAGAAAAAAATTCTTTATAAAATATTAATAAAAATTTTATTATGAGTACATAAAAATATGTGCATGTATATGTGTATGTTATGTTCATATAAAAATATATTACAAAAATTGTTATACAATATAAGTAAATAATAAAATAAAAATTGCTTTCTACAAAAATGATCTAAAAGTTTTTGAAAAAGAATAAAAAAAACTTTGAACCTATTTTTCAATTTTTTTTTATTTATTTTTTTTTTTTGGTTGGCCTTTACAAAAAACCAAAAGACATAATTATAATACAATTTGTTATACATATTTATATATATGTATATATTACATTACATGCATAAAATATACTACGTTATATATATATGTATATTTTATGCATGTAGAAAGGTCAATTAAGTAAAACTATTGAAAAGCTAAGAATAACAGTTATTAAAAGTTTTGTTTTTATGACAAAGTACTTTAAATTAAAAATTCTTAAAAGTGTGCTAAATATATATGTATATACCAAAAAATTTTGTATAAAGGATAGCTAATTTTTTATAACATACTAAAAAAATTTCAACAATTAAAATATTATTCCAATAATATAACATTTTGTTTTAACAGTTTTATGAACTTATATACATACACTTTTATATATAAAAATAAAATGTATATATAAAAAAATAAAATAAATAAAGCTTATTTCTAAATACAATACATACATACATATATTATGTAAATATTATAACAAAATAAATTATATTTTTTATAACATTTTCGAATTTTCAAAACTCCTTGAAAACAGTCAAGAGTTTAACTCATGAAAAATTATTATTATAATTTTTAAGGGTGGTAGCGTTTACACATTAAACATTGTTCATGTTTTAATGTATAAACGGCTTTGTCTTGGATTGTTTGATCTAATGAAAATTTTTTTAATGTTTGAATGGGTCTATTCAAATTTTCGTGAATGTTATTTGAAACGAAAATAATATTGTATGAAGCCGTTCAATTCTTATCAAACAAAATACTAAACCAAAGTTTGATGTGTAAACGCTATCTTATTTTTTTTTTTAAGAAAGTTGGAGGATGTACACTTATAAAATGTTTTTATGAGTGTTGTTTAATGAAAATAATAAAAAAGTCATCTAACTTCTATCAAACAATATCCCCGAGGATCTTGTTAAAAAATATTATTTAAAAATTGTTTTCAAATTTTGCATTTAACTGATTGATATAAAATGTGTTTTACAATTGATGTTATAACTAATATAGTAGGCAATATAAAGTTTGCTTAAATAATAAACTAAATTAATTGTATTTGGTCGTATAAATAAGCATGATACAATATATATAAGTATAATACATAAAGTATACCATGAGTATTTTTAATGATAAATTTATCGCGCGATCTCTAATATGTATTTTAATAATTATTTTTGTATATGAAAAAATATGATTAATACTTATATTATTATTGTATATATATATATATATATATATATATATATACATAATAATATATATATATATATATATATACATATAATAATGTATAATAACTAATACATATATAGTAACATTCTTATATTACATCAGTATCTGCATGTGTATACACTACAAACTATGAAATTAATATCACATTGAACTAAATAAAATTTAAGACAAACGAGACAAAAAATTATTCTCCAATGTACATACATACATACACATTCACTAATTGGGGAGTGACACGAGAGAATTAACCCCAACTTCCAAAATGCAGTGTTAAAAAAATTTAATAACATTTAAATAACTTTGTTTTACTACAATGAAAAGCTTTTACAAGCGTTTATGTTGTTGAAAAGCAGAAAAAAAAATGGTAAAGCTTTTGATATATTTTGAAGTATCATTTTGACAAATAAGAACACATTCCACAATATTGATGTTTATGATATATCAAAAAATGATTATTGCTAGAATTTTTTTTCTTTAAAAATAAAATTTGTAAGCTTATCAAAGGAGAAATTTTTGGAAGATTTTCCCATCACACTGCTTACCGTTTATATTATGTATGCTATATATACTTCAGAAGATACAAAATCAAAATATTCAATTGTCAATTTTTCTGACAATTTTTTGTCTTAATATACATACATGTTAGGTATAAAACCAAGCACATTTTAATATTTTTTTTCGAAAAATAAAATTTATATGCATTTTATTTTGCATATAGAACTATGTATATTACGCTTTTTTCTGAACAATTTTCAGAAATTCTGGCCTCACAGGCCTTTTTTCAACAATCTCTTAAAACATAAAACAATAGATTTCGGGAAGACCTTTTCTGCAATTTCTGCATATTTCCATATTTTCAATTTTCAATTTTGTAGTATGACAAGGTTTATAGACTCGAAAAATCAGTTTATTTTTCAGAGTTTATAGATATTTCTAAAAAAAATTCAAAGTTCCATTGTGATTGGATTAATATTAATACACTATTGATTAGGACGTACAAACAGATATATATTGTTAATACAAAGTGTTATATTTATACATATTTAAATTTATAATATTATTATTTTCGAAATACTTAATTTTTTTAATTATTCTATAAAATATGTACTTAGCCATTTGGGTCTTTTACAGAAAATTTACAAAGTAGGTTAAAAATAAAGTGAGATTAACAAAAATAAAAGCTAATGATTGCATACGTCATCTACGATTATATTAACATATATTAATATATAATATAAACAAAACTAAAAAAATTTTAAAAAATTAGCGAATAAAATGAAAATCTAACATCTTATATGTATATTAATGAAAGATATAACATTTAGAAAAATGAACTCATAGAAACTTATTAAAGTTATCGTATACACATAAATAAATATTTTAGTGTCAAATATGCACAAGTTATAAAAAATCAAAGAAAAATTAAACGGTAAAAGCAGTCACAATTTTAAAAAATCACGGTTCAAATTGCGTTAGACAAAATGAAATTGAACTATGAAAATTTTATTTGTAAGTATACATAATATCAAATTTTAATTATAAGCTAGAAATATATCAAAATTTTAAATACAACTCTGTGTTCTTTACCAAATATAATATTGCTTCTTAATTTTTGCTGCTACATCACCTAGCTGATAAAATTTAGAATAAAATTTAACACTTGTTTCACATTTTTAATAAGGTTCGTCCTTTTCATTCCTTATCATTCTTCTATTTCGTTCTTGTCGAAAAATCGCAACGAAATTTTTCTTGAAATCAAGTTTCGGAATAGTGTAGCCTGTCTTGTAATTTACCGAATCTGACAACAGTAAGAGTTAAATATAAATGTGGCAGTATGGTCTAATTGGACAGAACTCAAGTCCTTTAGCTCGCTACAGAACTGTATGGTGCACGAAACTCGTAATCTATTAATAACACGTGCATCCAATACCTCAGAAGAACAACAACACAGGGTGCGAGTGATACAAATAGTAGTCAATACTTGAATCCTTACTGGGAAGTATTTACCAAGTAGGTTTTTTCATGCACTCAATGTCTGAGAGCTGTAGAAGCGAAAGTTGTCTCCATAATACTTTTCCAGTTATTACTTACAAATATTTATTACAAATATTCAGTTTACTAATTAAAATATTTCAATTTTAGGCGCAGTGAATTTTTAGGATGTATGTCATTTTCATTGAATTCATTAAGACATGAAAAAATAAATGGATCCTACAAATTGCAAACTCAAAATTGTTTATCAAATTTGACACCAGCAATATTGTTGACTTCGCAAAATATTCATCAAAGTTTAACAACTCCATCCAAAAACCAAAACGCCAATTTAACAAATTTACAACAAAATTCTGTATCAGATATATCGACAAGTTCAACAGAAATGGCTGCAGCTGCTGATAATAAACCAATTTCATTATTATTAAATACAAATTTAGATACAAATCGTCCAGTAAGTCTAGAGGATGAAGATGTTATTAGTATAGATAGTGCATCAGCAGCTGCAAATGCTATTGACGGCCAAACTGGGCAAGTTATTTTAAGTAAAAAAGCAATTCATCAACGTGATGCGGATGAAAATTTATTTTTAAGATTTTTGGAACTTGATCCACCGACTGATACATTAAATAATATAACAGCGCCAGGTGTATCAACGAGTAGTGCTGCTAGTACCGGTGCTAACTCGATAGTAACAAGTAATACAATAAATGCAACATCATCAGCACGTAGAACATCAACATTTCCAAAATCATTAAGTGGTCGAACTCCATTTACAGTAACAAAACGTCTGACGCGAACTTCTGAACGTGGTTTTGGTTTTTCAATAGTATGGACACATCCACCCAGAGTGGAAAAAATTGAACCTGGTTTGTCAGCTGCTCAAAGCGGTATACTACCAGGCGATTATGTGATATTTGTTGATAAGCATAACGTTGTTACAATGCCAGAGGCAGATATTTTAAACTTAATTAGATCGCAAGGTAATAATTTAACATTAGAAATATTTCGTCGACAACCGTCATCTGGTATACCTCCGTTAACTTCAATAACATCAACCCGTTCAACTGGTTTAAGCGGTGTTTTAGCAGCAACAAATAGTTCTGTTTGTGATTCAACAACAATGGTAAATGGCTTAAATAAATCTAGGGTAGCTAGTATTGCTAGTACAACTGATTATTCTGGATCACCAGCATTAAGACATCCTGGACCATTAAATTTACAAAGTGGTTTAACAACTTGTGGACCACGTAGTTCAATAGCTTGTTCAAATGCATCATTAGAAACTACTAAACGTAAATTACAGTTACCTCAGGTCACATTTAGCAAAGAGGTAGGACAAGGTGTTATAGTTTGATATAAAATTTATATTGTATATCTTTTAAGAAACGGAAAAAAAGGAAATCTATTATATATGTACCTACATATATTCAAATACTATTATTTTAATGTGAAAAACTTTAAAAGAGATTTTAATTGATTTTTTATTTTAAGTTTTTGTTTATACACATTATAATATTATGATGTTTTTGAAAAGGACAAACATTAAGGACTTAATTGGATTATGTAAATAGTAATAGTTTTAAGAAAACAACTTTATTAACGCTTAAATGAAACTGACAGTTTAATGATTTAAAAAATTCCAAAGTATTTTGAACCAATTAATGGGATTGAATAACATAAAAACCTTTTGTTTTTTTTTGAATAATATTTAATTACCTATATGGAACGAATTATAGACTCCTAAATATTTTATTGAAATGTACATACTTCTATTTTTAGGCAATTCCAAACAAAAAAAAAATAAGAAATTCTCTGCTTAATTTTATTTCAACTAAATAACCTTAGGACTTTCATTTCAGCTTTGTACATAAATATATAAGACAGAAAATTAACTTGAAAGATGTTATAGGTTTAAATATTTAGCTATTAATTTTTAATCTTATTTGTATTTACACTTTGACATTTTTGTAGTTTTACTATGGAACTTGTTAACAGGAAAAGTTGTCAAATTGTACTTCTCGTCAAATTCATCACTAATATATTTTGTTTCGTTCTCAGTTAGAATATCTTAAATTAAAATTTTTAATATTCATCTTAATTCACCTTGAAACTTTCAAATTCATCTTCTTAATTAAATTTCAGTTCTCTGAACTAAGCAAATTACAATTGGACTAAGGTTTCATTATTAATTTGTTATTAAAAAATTTTTATACCTATTTTTTTTCATATACATAATGTATACTGTAAATGCGGTTATCATGTTCTGCTATAAAACTACAAATTTAACTGAAAGCACATATAAAATTTATATTATTGTTAATTTTCATTTTATAATATTACAACTTTTATGTTTAAATGAAAAACTCACAAATTGTACATTATTACAACAGGCAAGATATACGCTTAAAATTTAATTTATATCTACTTACATAGTTATTATTTTAATTTATGTAAAAAATAACATTTACTTTAATTGAAACTCATCATATTATGTTACTTGAACCTCTAAACTTAATTAATATTGTGTAAAATTTTAAATATTGGGCCGATTTTTTAAAAATTAGTATAATAGTGATATATACATACATATATATATATCTTTATTTTATCGTTGCATACAGGGTTAATGAATCACAAAAAATTGCATTAGATTGTAGAACCAGGTTCTTCTGAAACCGCAGTTATAATTTAGTACTAGATTGCAGTGTATATGTTTAATAAGAACTGCTCAAACTGTAAAGTACTGCTTTTAAAAATGTGGAACAGCTTTTTTGAAAACTACCATTGCAAATAAAACATTTCAGAAATTTTACGCAACATCGCATTTCTACTTCTCTAATTGCGATAGCTTAATTTTGAAACAATTTGAAGAATGATGGTTACTTTTATAAAATTTTTTACACTTTTATCCACATACATATATTTTCTTCAACAGAATATTCAATGCATATCGTTTTTTAACTGAAGAATTTATTTTTAAAATAAAAGAAAGTTTGGCATAATTAAATATTTGCAAAAATTGTATTTTTTTTTTTTTTAATCTCGGAAACTGACTTATCTAATTCTAAATCAGTAGCAATTCATTAAGATAATCAGGGAAGTTAATTTAACATACATGCACACAAAATGTGTTATATATTAAGTTAATTTTATATATGATGAGACTTTATAAAGTAAATGAAAGAAATTTTTGTTTTAAGTTTTTTTCAAAATTTAAGTTACGTAAAATTTGTTAAATTTTCTTTTCTTTTTTTTTTTGTAATTTTCTTGCGCAATAATAATTTATTTATTTTGTATTAAGTTTTAATTTTTAATATGTTATTATATTTATGTATTTATCATTTAGTATTTAAGATTATTATAATTTAATTTTTGTTATGTACAAGCATTGTAAGTAAGTTTTTTTTCTAATGTGGTTCAAATACCTCGCCATCCTTTTAAAAAAAAATTATTGATTAAATTATGTTTCATTTTTCTAGATAAACATGTTATTAGTCTTATATTCCATTAAATTATAATTACAATTGAGTTTACAACTCTTTTAATATTATTGTAAAATTACTTAATAATTTTTTAAAATCTTATATAAAAAAATGTTTTCAAGTTACTTTTAAAAATTAATTTCACTCTATTTATTCGCAATTATTACGGCATTCTTATATAAATATATATATATATATATATATATTTTAAATTTGATCATTTTAAAGCTGATGTTTTGTTAGTCCTTTTTATATTTATATGTTTATATATATATGTATGTATATATATATATATAAATATATATGTACATATGTTTAAGTTTATTTAATTTATTATGATTTTTTTTTAATAAAATATATTTAATATCTATATAATTTTATTAATTTATTTCATATATACTTATTGTTGAGGTTTAATTAATTATTTACTTGGTAAATTATAATAATTATCTTGTTTAAATTAATACAAGTGATTTGCATTTCTACGTTAGACTAGTGTTTGGAATCTTTAATGGGGATTGGGATTGCGCACATAAACAATACGAAACTTCTTATAAATCCTAAGTTTTCATGGTAAATCCAAGGCCAGCCAAAGAAAAAACTTGGTAATGTAGTAGTTAATTTCTCCTTGCTCGATCTAAATTTCACGGTCGGATATTAATCTCATTGGTCACCTACTTTTGAAATTATTAAAGCAACTTTACTTTGAAAACAAAATTATCCGATTCTCGTATACAGTCCATATTTTTATTATTAATGCACACTTCAACTTTTTTAAAAAGCGGACATTACCTTAGCCAGACAGTTATGTCAATGTACCACTTTTTGCTGTTCTTATTTAGATAACCAGTAATTATTTGTTTTTGTTTTGTGATCTGATTTTATAGCCTTCCAGCATTCTAGTCAAATCATTTCTTTTCTTCTTTGAAAATCTCCTTAACTTCCTGAATAGGAGACATTATTTGTTTACCCTTTAAAATGAATTATTTTAACTTAGCAGATGGGAATTCCAAAAATGGTTTATCTTTTTCAATTTATTTTCGTCTTTTATTTTGTTAAAAATCAATTAGTCATACATAATATATAGTCGGGAAAACGTAGAACTGACGTTATCAACTGCTCGATACTTGTAGAATGAAATATTTATTCAAAGAGTTCTGATTCCGGTATAAAAAAAAATTTTCTTGAATCTAATTTAGATTCCTTTAACTTGCTACTATTTCTATTTTTATTAATAGTCAACATCTAAATTTTCAGCTTCTTTGTACTTCACAGCTTCTGTTTATTAAGTCTCGATCTAATTTCGATTTAAATATCAAAAAAATTTTAATCGTTATATTATTAATTCATCTGTAATTAAGTCTGTTAAAAAAAAATTAGCTGAAAATTTAATTTTACTTATTTGTGAAATTTCAAAATATTTAACATGCAATAAATTTTAATTTTGTAATTTTAATTATAAAATTATATTTTTTTAGATTGAGCGCAGAAAACTTCTTTTATTGAAACAACAAAAGAAAAATGGACAAATTCCAAATCAGGTTAATTTGAATGTCTCTCAAAAAAATTTTAAATGTATTACATAATTATTCAGACAATAACTGTATCATCAGATATATTATCATCCTGTATATGTAATAGAGAGTTTTTAATTTTCCTCTTAGAGCTTATATTCTTACAAATACAAAAGAGTAAAAATTTCCAAAATATTATGAAATTAAAACTAACATTCATAAAAAAAAAAACAAATGCATTTTCAAAAAAAATATCGGAAACATAACAATTCATTTTTCATTACATGATAAATATATTCATCATAAGGGTGTCACAAAACTATTAAAGAAATATTTAATTTGAATTTAAACTCTGGCAGTTCTTGAACACATACACAAAGAGAACGTATTAAGGCTAAAAAGTTGACAGTGTCCATAGCTTTTGAATTCTGACTTTAACAATTTAAGAAAAATGTTGTTACTTTATCTTAATAATGTAGATTTTTAACCATAAGCATTGTGTATATAGGCAGTGTGTAGTGATATACAGAAGACAATTTTTGCAATTACACAATGGAACTACTTTTCCTATTAACATTTTTATTTTAAATTAAAATACTATTACTCAATAACCTCAAAAAAAGGAATTCGTTTTGTAATTACCAAAATTGTCTTCTGTATACCATTATTAACTAGCTATACACAAAGCTATAAGGCACATTTTTAAATTGTTTAATTTAAAACAATTTGTTAAACTTGTCATTTTTATGGAATTAACAACACCATAACCAATCATGTGCTACAATAATGCTTAAAATATAATTGTCTTATAAAAATTTCGATATATTTAAGTCACTTTCACTCACAACCATTGTATAAATAGCACACAATCATGTTTATATAAACTGTTTATAGAAAAACAACACTATTTAGTTTTTGAAATTTAGCACAGTCAGCACTCTTCAATCTATTATTTTGACAAATGAAAAAAAAAAATTATTTGTGTCAATTTCTTTTTATTTTCCTTTTTTTTTTCTTGATATAGTCTATAGGTCCAGTAACAGATTTGAGAAAACGTTTTTTACTTCAGCTGATAAGTAGAGAACAAAATTTTGTTGGCGCTATACAATTTGGTATCCAAAGATTCATAACACCGTTACAAGAGCGTAAAGATTTAATTTCGCCTAATGATCACAGAACATTATTTCAAAATATAGATGAATTAATGCGAATATCTGAAGACATTTTAGAACAGTTAGTTAACGAAAATAATGAACAAGATCCACAAATGAATTTTACATCAAGAGTTTATCTATCAAAAACGACAGCTATATGTGCAGCTTACAAAAAATATTGCAATGGAATTAAAAGAGCCGATTGTGTTTTGGTAATTTTGAAAAAGATTTAAAAATTTTAATTTTTGTTATAGACATAATATTAACGTTTTAGGTAAATAAATCACGACAACCAGGATCAGATTTTGTGTCATTTATTACAGAACCACAAGTGCCACGTAGACGACCTGATTTAACTATGTTAATACATAGACCACTTCAACATTTTCGTGAAATTTTAAAATTAATGCAATTATTATCATCACATTGTCATGTGGATAGTGAAGAGCACAAAAATTTTACGAGTGTTATTAATGAATTACAAGCTGCTTACCGTGAAATTACAGTAGGAGGTGGTCTAATGGAGCCTTTAGGGGAAGGTAGACCATTGTTAACATTACAAGATTTAGAAGCAAGAATGGTATTTACTAGATGTAAACCATTCACTTTGGCCGTACAAGGTCGCCAATGGATTTTTGGAGGAGATCTTTCACGTGTTGAAGGTCGATCAATTAAACCATATTGGACGTTATTATTTAGTGATATTATTGTATTTGCTAAAGTTAGTCGTGATCGGGTTTTATTCATCACTGAAGAGCCATTACCAATTGCCAATATAGTTGATTCGTGTTTTAACATAAGAAAAAAAAGTATAAATAATATAAAGAAAATAAATTTCAAATAAAATTAATTATATCGTAAATTCTTCTTTTTTATATGTGACTTTTAGACACAGAATTCCGAATTACTGTGGATCCAAATGGGCGTTCCATAGAAAGTCCAACAGCTTACTGTGCACCTGACTTAACAAAAACACCTAAAAAAAATACAAGGAGGAAAAGTCTGATTTTAAGAGCACCATCGCTGGAATTAAAAGCAGTTTGGCAAAACTTGTTACAAAGACAAATGTAAGTACATGAGCAAACATAAATATCTAAAATCTCTTCAAAAATTTTATCTTTCATTGCATACATTCATTTTTGAATAACGAATTTGTTTAAAAGATGGATTGAGTTTACATCTTACATTATTTATCCTACATATTAACAAGATATTGAAAATTTGTAAAATTAAAAAAAAATTTTTTGCTTTGTACCGAATTTTCTTTAGATACAAAAAAAAACCAAATATTCCAATTTTTAATATTTTATTTCTTTAGTTTTTTAGTGAATGCTGCATTAGGTTCCACGCCACTATCGAGTCCACTAGATTCACCAGATGTTTTAAATACCTTAGTACCATTGAGTGATATTGGAGCTACAAACACATCAATTGCATCCATTAAATTAACTTCAATGGATAGTTTAAATTTAAAAAATCAACAACAACAACAGGTTCGTTTCAGTAATGAGATATCTACTTCAACATCAATTCTACAAAATACTAATTGTAATAGAGAATTATTTGATCCCGGAAGTTATGAAAATTTGCAAAAATTGGCTTCAACACTTTTATCACAAAGCTATAATAATTATAACTTTAATAATAATAAACGTTTAATTTCAAATGATCAAAACAAACAGCTACCAAATCAAACTTATAATAATATAAATCCAAATACAATTTTCTATACCTTAACAACAACAAATACATCAACAATACCAACAGTAACAGCAACAGCTACAACAACTTCATTTACAACTGGAACACAGAATATAAATACAACAGCTACTTACTCATTTAATAGTCCATATAACAGTTATAATGATTACATTTCTAAAATTATTTCACCTGCAACTTCAATGGCAGGTCATCATAATACATCATACCAAAGTACACCATCATTAGTTTTAAATAATAGTAGTAATTTAATAAAAATTCAAAATCAATTATTAGTCGATAAAAGTAATCAATTAGTCAATTCAGCACAAAAATCAAAAAGTACTTATAATTCCAGTAATAGTTCTTTTAGTAATTATAACTCACTATTTTCATTAGAAACAGGTTCAAGCTACAAAATTCCATTAGAAGTACAATCAAATAGTACTAAATCATTAACAGCGATTCCGGAAACAATATGTGAAATTCCTGAAACACTAAATAATCTTAATTCTCAAAAAAAATTAACTGATTCCGAAAAAATTGATTTAGCAAATGAACGCGGAACATATGCAGAATGGATAGCTGCTAACAATGCACCGTTACGTTCAATTCAATCAATTATTTCAAATTCAACAACTTCAACAAACAATAATCCACGTCCCCTTTTAGAATTTAGTTTAAGCTCTGTAGGCCGTTCATTTATAGATGAAACTCAAGAAAATTATGAAAATAGTTCAACACATTTATCAATAGCCACACCAGAAACTCCAACTCCAAATATATCTCCAACCTCTTCAAACCGATGTCTTTCTGATGGTTTTTCAAATGATTTTGTTTCCACTCATTCCACTCATCACCAATCTCATAACTATCATCAGCACAGTCAAAATAAATCAAATTTAAATGCGTTACACAATAATCAAATTCAACCTGAAAATAAAAATAACGAAGCTAAAAGTATTGAAAAAAATGAAAAAAAGGATGGCTGTTTCAATAATGCTATTAAAATAGAAAGAATACCATTGGCAACATATGGCGGATCATGGGATCTTTTGGAATTGGATTTAGAATTTCATCAGCTAAATATGGATCCGTCTTTTGATACAGATGTTGAAGAATGTGTATTTTTAGGTGATGATGATCCTTTTGGAGTTCTTCCAACGCGTCCCACACCACCTGATTCATTAGATCTATGATTTTTTCTTTATCGTCAAGTGGCTTTTAAAAGTTGATCAGTGAGATCATTAATTCATTGTTTTTAGAATTATTTAAGTCTTAACGTTACCAAAAATAATTTTATCAAACGCTCATATACCTAATTTCAATAACTGTTAAAGTGATTTTGAGCAACTGTATTAATCTAAATCTTTTATAATTGAAAGTTTTTGTTTGAATGCCATTTCATTAATTGCATTTTTTCTGATGTAAGGTTAACATTTTGGTTAACCCATATAAATAAGTGCATAATTTTTAGATTATATTAAAAAACTATGGCTTCCAGTTTCATTTTGACCCATCTATCCGCCAGTCTGTACACCAATTTACAAGCGGTCGAAATAAAAAGCTAAGCTACAATCAAGCTGATTCTATTTCCTATATGTACATCGAATTCGTTCTCTCTTAAGTCATACTGCCCCTTCAAATTACTAAGAACAATAGTACAATAGTTGGTTTTGACAGGTTAATTTGCTAACTTTTGTCTACAAGAATTATAAAAAAAGATGTCAGTGAGTTGATTTCTTTTTCAAATGAACAGGTTTTTCTTCTAAATTTCGTATTATTCAAAACATATGTATAAAAAATTTTGACACATTTTAAAACTATTTTTTTTAGATATTATTAATTATTGAAAAAATTTGGAAAATTATATAGTTTTAAGATTTTATGTATATGTATATAAATGTATAAACACTCACTATTTTAAAATTGTTAAGATTTAGTATTCAAAAGTTCCTGTAGATATTTCAACAGCACTATAAATTGTTTATCCCCTAAATTATAATAATTACACATATACATATGTACATTGTACAAAAGCAATTTCATTTATGTCAATTGAAAATTTGTTTCAAATATTTATTATACGCGAAAATGTCTATGAAAAAGACATAATAAAAGTTCCGCATCGGATTAAACCAGTGTAATATATATATACTTAATTAAAATAGGGTAACAGTTTCATCATACTTCTTTCTTATTTTAAATAAAACCTAATTAAAGACCCAATATTTTCGAACTTATTAATGTTTTACAAAGCCACCGCTTGATATTTCTTATAACTTAAATATTGTCTCAATTAGTTTTGTTGTTCGCATAGATTAATTATTAAAAAGAATTAAAGCAGCAAGTACGTTCTTTTAATAAATTCTAAACAATTAATAAATTGAAAAGCTAAATTTCTTAGGAAATTGTGGAATGTAGAATATAATATGAGCTATATGTATAAATCTAGTTTGGCAACTTCTATTAATAAGCACGTTTAAATTATTCACAGTAATGACTGACTTCAAAATTGCAGTATAAGTCTGTATTAAATTAACTTATAAACTTAATTGTGTTTATAAACTTGTAAATACAATTAAATTTATAAGTATTATTTGCTGAATTGTGTATTTATACCGTATAACAACTGCATTTTTGAAATCAAGGAATTTAATATATGGCACTTTTAAATTTAAAGGCAAAATGATTGATCACGTTGTTATTTTTTTATCTTTTTTTTTGAATAATATACATACATACGTATATGTAAGAGTATGAAGATAAAAATGTGTAGATATACATGTACATACATATGTGGGAGTCTCCTAAAATGCGGATCTAAAATTAACTTCAATTATTCAGCAGTAGAGTTTCAATTACTGAAAAAGTCAAGTTGACGTTAGATTTGGTAGACGATGTGTATGTATTTGTTTTTAATGAAAGTCTACAAAATTAATTAAGAAAAATTACAAACAAACATCATATAAAATTATTATTTTTACATATATCGTTCGATTTGAATAAGAATAATCAATTTTTTCGGAATAATGTCCGGGGCCGTATAATTTTTTATGTCAAAATTAAATTGTAAATGCCCCCCTATATGTTATGAATTGTTATTCTTTAAAATAACTCTTCGAAACATGAAGATTAGATTTAACTCACAAATAAATAAAAAACAATTTTATTATTTGAAACCTCTGAAATTCTGAGCTGACATTTTATAATTTGAAAATTGCAATAAAATTGTAATTCTACAAAATTGTTTATGAAGGCCGTATTGTTCCAATTTTAAAGTCACAGATTATTTGCTGATTAAAAAAAAATTATTTGATTTTTAGTTAAAGTACAAATCAGTTTAGGTATTCTCATTATTATCATTCCAAAATGGATACACAAAATATTCTTAAACATATAATTAAAGTTATTAAACAAATTTCTTTTTCATAATTTAAGCTAGTTTTATATTTTGTAATTAGATTTAAATGAATTATTCGGTTAAACTTGCATCGCATGTTTAAAGTCATATAAGTATCTAATCAAAATATTTGCAAAAATTATAAATACTAGCAATTTTTTAACTGCATTAATCTCTAAGGGATCAATGGTCAAAATAACTTACAATAAAATAAAAAATATCATGCTTATATTATCAGTTCATAGACTTTTTAACTATGGTGCATATATTTTAGTTAGTCAAAATTTAGTTTCGTATGTTGTCAGTGAACAAAATTTTGCAAGAGGAATTTTAATCAAAATTAAAAAGTAAAATGAACATTCACTAAAAAATTAAATAGTAATATTTTATTGTTCATATGAATTCCTACTGAGTTTATATCACAATAAATTATTTATAGCTTTGTTTTGCACCGTTTGAATTATGTTAATGTTGTTCTTATACAAGTTTCCCAAAATATAAATAGTATAGGTTACTGCAGCATAAAATAGGCTAAAGTATCCAATTAGTTGTTCCCGTATAAACTTTTCATCTAATATAACGTCAAAATATTTGTACCATGTAACTAAGTTTAGCTGACATCCATTGATTTATACCATACAACTGCAATTTCGATATTAGCCTGTCAATTTTTTGTATATGAACATATTTTAAAGCTAGTATAGTTGCCAAATTCTAAAATTATCAAAAAATTTAACAATTAGTTATGAAATATAAATCTAGCTTGAAAAATATATTATAATTAAAATTAAAAAGTAAAACGAACCATGCACTAAAAAATCAAATAGAATTAATGAAAAATAATGAAAAAATTCAAACTTAAAATATAAAAAAAATGTTCCACATCTAGATTAAATGTATAAGTTTATTTTTGTATTTTAGTTTAGATTTGTTATTTAAATTGAAAAAAATCAAAAAAAAAAAAAATAAAAAGTAGATCTTTTACTATTTTTCTTAATTTTTTTTTTTTGTTAATTTTTTTCAACTTTTTAATCTTTATTAAAAACACCAAAATAGTTTGATTTTTATTTAATATAAAAAGAAAGAAAACAAATGTTTCACATTATTATAAAATAAAAAATAAATTTCTTTGAATAAAAACGCTTGTGAGTTTTTTTCACAATTTTATATTTCCTTTTTTTCATATTCATTGTTTAATTTAATTTTCTTTGCTTAAAAATCAACATTAATAAATTATTTTGCTAAAATATGAAATAATGAAATTAAAATAATTATTAATAATGAAAATTAATTAAGAAAAAAATTGTGATGGACTCAAAAAAAACATACACACACATAATATACACATTAAAATTTATTTAAATTTAAATGTTTTTATTTTAATTTTATTTTATTTTTATATGAAGAAAAATTTGTTTCTTTGTTATTTTCATAAAATTGAACTAAATTAAATTAAATTATAAAAAAAATATATTTTATTATGTGAAATGAATAGATTTAAAAAAAAAATAATAAAATTGCACTTAATTTCATAGACATATATACAGTAGAGCACGGATAAGTATATACATTCGAGGATTTTGAATACTTACATGTACGTACGTTTTTGTTATGCGATAACAAAATATAGAAGCAATAAAAAAACATAAAAGCAAAACTAAAATAAAAACAAAAAACAAATTGTTATATTTGACAAAATTTGTTTCAGCATTGCTGTTGTCACTTATAACAAATATGAAGTAGAGTTTTACATTTATCCGTGTAATGCTAAACTATGTTTTATTGTAGTTAATGAAAATTATTTGAAAAAGATCAAGTTATGTTTAGTTAGGAAGATTAAAACTAGTGAACAACCTCAATATTTTTCAATACAAGAAAGTTGTATATATTTATTTAATATTTAAGTTTGTTCAATACCGTTTTTCTTTATATCTAACGTTTTTAACTAGAAATTTAAAGCAAATCATATTATGTAAATCTCTATTTCATAATTAAACTTACATATATACAATATGTCTTCCCAATCTATATATTGACTTTTAAGATCATTGAAGTATCAAAAATTTTCATCCATAAATTTAATGAAACAAAATAATATTAAATCTAAATACAATGTTTATATACATTAATCTGTGGCTTTAAAAATAGCAATAATACTATGTTGCTACAAAATTCAGCTAATAAGTGATAATTGCTGAATTGTGTATTAATACCGTACTATTTTAATTTTAAAGTCAGAGAGTATATTTTTCATTTCACATTAAGCATAAAATACCTTTTTGTAATTTTGCTCCATAAAAATGTACAATATGAAAAAATTAAATAACATTACATTAATAATTTTAATTTTAAAATTCGAGTTTTTTTTTTTTCATTGTAAAAAATTTAATTTAAAAAATAATATTTAAAATAAAACAAGCGTTTTTAATCGAAGATGTTTATCTCTTTCATACGTGCATAATGTACGTATATTTTAAAATTTTTTTATTTGTTTTATAAATATTTATTTTATTTTATTTCCTTCTTTTATCTATGATTTTTTTTTTTCTATACAAAATTTAATTTTTGTTTTTTTAATGTTACTATGCAGGGTTAAACAAAAATGCAAATTTAATATAAACGCGACTTATTCAGAAATATAATTTTGATTGTTGACATTGAAAAATCTGCATTTTGGTAGACCCCATGTATATGTAGTTTTGTTTTCCAATTTAATTTAAATATAAAAAAAAATATTTAATAATCAATAAGTAAATAATTTTTTTTTCCTTCATTGAGCCCATCACAGTTTTTTTTTGGTTCTTTTGTGATGTGTGTATAATTTTGAAATCTAACATTTATCAATTTAAAAATATGAGCTTTATTTTTATGAATATTCATAATCATGTGTTATTAAATGTGCATAGGTATATATGTATGTTTTACAAGAACTTATTCTGATTATCGAATCATAGAGTGATGGTAATATTTATTGTAGACATGATTCATTTGTATGAATTGTTTTGTGCTTACAATAACAAAATTGAAGTTTAGCGACAAATACTTATAACTGTCACTTAGCTATTCGGTATTTCAAATAAAACCTCGTAAACGCTCGTCTACAACAATAATCTATTCATATTTATGTTTCGAATGTACGAATTCAAATATTTGCTAAGACCATTTCAATACAAGCAAAAAATTTTTAAATTGCTCTATAAAAGCCCTAATTTTAAAGTGATATAGAAAAACAAGTTAAATATAATTCATATTCTTAATATATACACACATATGTACATACATAATTTCTTCTAGCCGTAATAGCTATTTCTTAAAAACAAAAGTTAATAACAAAAAAAAAATAATATCACAGCATTAAGAGTTTTTTTTATCATTACATTCCCCTCTAAAAAAAACTAACCTTTCTTAATCATTTTAACTAATCATAAATCAATTTTTCAGAGTTAGCTTTTTTCATTATTATATAATAGGGACTTATTCTGAGTATCAAATAAGTATGTGACATATTATCGTAAAAGTTTGATATTGTTGTAAACACAAACAAAATTCATTTACAGAAATGATTCATGTCTGTAATAATTTTTTTTTCAATTTTTTTACGATAAATACCGCAACTATCACTTAGTGATCAATACCCAGAATAAGCTCCAATTATGTCATCTGCAACAAAACCTGTGCAATACACTTATGTATTTGTAAATAATTAAAATAATCTTATATTTTCACATAAGTAGCAATTTGACATTTTTATATTATGTATTATCAGATTCACGTGATTGTCATGTAATTTATTGTCCCTTGCGCATTGAAATGAAAAATTCTGTAAAAAGTATAATCTTTTCATTTTAAATAGTATTAAATATTCTGGCACTTTAAACAACACTAACTATATATGTATGTAAATTAATTCCATTCAATTATGAAGAACATATTTTTAAAGAATAAAGAAGTTTAACTTAAGAAGTAGTCCGCGCATACTACATAAAGTGCAATAACTTTTAAGCATTATCCTCGTAAAACCGACATATTTAAATTTTTCGCACATTTTGATATTGTACTAACAATATATATAATCTTAGTTGCTTAATATTAGTTATAAATAATATACATATTTTGTAATGAGATTAAATTTAAAAATTGCGTTAACAACTAATAATTAAAGCTGTCAAGAAGAATTTTTAAAGAATACAAAATTTCTCACTTACGTATGCTTACAAGTTAAGACAGCTTAATGCATTCGGTTTTTAGCTAAAACTGTATTTGTAATTGTGAAGTGAACAAGACTACGCTTTTCTTCTAAACAACAACACAAATTTAAATGCTTTAAAGTTATATTATGCATAAAATTACAATTTATTGTGCAGAAAATTCAGTGACATTTCAGTAGAAAAACAAGACGCAATAATGCTGTAAAATAATCATGATTATTCAATTTATATGATCCTAACAAAAATTAATTTTGCAATACAGAACTGTAACATTGTATATAATACAAAATATATTGGATATTGAGTTTAATATATTTTACCATATTATTCCTTGAGCATATATACCCCATAAAACTTCCCTTTAAATACTAGAAACCTCACTTCCTTTAGTTAAAAAAGAATCTTACATCAAAGAAAATTCCAAATTTCTTAATTTCATAGCATCGCAAAATAAATGTTGCTCAACATATGGAAACGTTAATCGATGAAAAATGCCGTATTTTGAATAAAACTGGTACTTCAAAAGCTAGTGCACTACATTTAGCAAATTGGATGAAAGGTCAATTAGATAAACAACAAGAACAGGCACGTTTAGTAGCAATTACGCAAATGCAATCAAATGAAAACTTAGATAAAGAAGATATATTTGTATCTGAGGAAGAGGAGGAAGAAAAAATTACATTTTGGACCAAAGAACAATTAGAGAAACGTACAAAAGAATTGAATTTTGCAAAAGAAAATCCAGGTGTTAAACCAGTACATCGTGCATTTGGAGGTAAACGATTGAGTGGTGTTGAAGAAGTCGCTTTTAGTGATGTTGACTCTGAAGTAAAAAGCCCGTCCAGAAGTACAACGTCAGATAGTCAAGTAAGTCATGTACTCAAGATTAAATTTTATAAATATAATATTGTAATTAATTATTGTCAAAAGCTCTCATCATTATATAAGCAAAAAAAATATACACCCTTACCTCCCGCAGATAACAGTCCGTTCCAGTCCAAATCCAAAAATAATAGATAAGCTATCAGTATGCCGTCATTGTCATAAAAATTGTAAACAATCATTATTAAAATCATCAGAAGCACCATCTTCACCACCTTTGTTGTCTAATTCCCTAAAAGTCCAACATAGCCAAGCATCGCCTAATCGCTGTTGTAAACTCAATGGATTAGCTACGATATCATCTTCATTAGTAGAAGACATGTCTAATGATGCATTTAGTCCTAAAGATGATATCATTAGAGGTAGTAGTATTTCCAGTGAATCTAGCACTGTTACTGGTGATCGCAGTCATCATAGCAATGAAATTTTATTAAATAAATCAAGTGAAAAATTAATTAAAACATCTCGTTCATATCCAAATTCAGTTGCGTCGGTTCCAATCACCACGACACAGATAATAAATGGCAATATATCAAGAAGTGTTACAGAAGAGTCCATGACATCAATATCTCGTACATCATTATTAAAATCTATCACCGAAACTACAACAACAGAATCAGTTTCATCAACTGCAAACATTTTAAATTCGATAAAAGACACAAATGTTGATCAAAACACAAAAATGATGCAAAAAGTTAGTAATATACCTAGTAAAGATAAAAATCAATTTGGGCCAACAAGAAAATCACCAGCTTTAGGTTTATCTTCGTTACTTATGAAATCCTCCGCATGTCAGAAATTTATAAATACATCCGATAAGAATTATATTCCATGTAATTGTAAATGCACCCCAGAAGATTTTTCAAACACTACTTTAAGTCCAGATGAGCTGAAACAGGAGACATGTAAAATAATTGAAGATGTAGCAATATTGTCTAGTCAAATTCCTCTCAAGTCTTCAAGCGATTCCCCATCCAATAAAAACATTTTAACACGTGATAAAGATTTGCATCGGCATTGTAAATGTATATGCAATAAAACTGCGAAGGAAGAATTTTTCAAGAACAAAGAAAGCGACGAAGACTTATCTTTAGTACTAATTGGATTAGCTCAATTAAATCCAGCTGCAAAGCTTTTGAATTCAAATGACTTTGTTCCTACAATTTCCGTTGTGCCACCTACACCCGAAAATACATTATCAAAAACTTGTATTAATATTTGGGATAATCAATCTTCGCAATCTCACACGTTTCAATTAGATAAAAATTTAAATCCTAAAACTATACCCATTCATCCGTTAATTGAAAATATTAATGATACACCTGATGATTCACCACTCGATGAAGATCCACCTTATAGACCAATGAGTACAGGTTTAAGACGATTCGGAACTCTATCAAGTTTAGAAAAGTTACCTGGAGATGAAAATCTTAACGCTGAAAATACAGACGATGACGATGATGTTAACGATTTAGAGCACGATGAAGAAGACATCAAAGTGATTACTAAAGAAATTTTTGATGCAAATCATCAGCAAACTACCTTAAGAAATTGGACATCAAAGGCTGGGTCATATGTTGCTGGGAAAATGTCATTTTTTGAAGAATCAAGAGCTTTCATTGATAAATACCTAGGTAGATGGAGTGCTGAAAATGATGATAATGAAGAAGAGCAATTAGAAGAATGCACTTCTGGTGAAGAAGTGTGGGGGACGCCAACGAGTGGTGGAGATAACGATGATCTTCAAATGCCAAATTCTGACTTAACACAATCGGTAAAATGAACAAAAATCATAACAAAAAATTTTATATGTTTAATCATGAAACATTCATTTGTATACATATAAACATAATTTCAGTCCCCAACAAAATCAAGTGGGTCATTAAATGACGATGATGATACCGAATTGATGATGGACGAACTATTAATGGCACCACCGATGACTGCTAGTACAATCAGAGGATTATTACCACGGTAAGGAATAAAATATTAAAATTTTTCTAATTAAAAAAATATTTAATTTTCAAATATGTATTCAAAATAAACAAACTGCGATTTAAGAAGATTCGTGAAATATAATTTTACTGTATGTATAAAAAAATGAGTGCCACATTTTTAATAGGTCCGAAACTTAGGTATTTGGTGGTTTATACATTTAACAGCCGTTTTTTACAATTACAAAAAATGCCTGCAATTTGTCAATTTTGAGGAGCTTTGAGAAAAAAAAACTGAGTAACTCACTGCTCCACAGGTTACAAGCAGCACCACTTTGCTGCAGAGCCTTCACCTATTCTTTGCAACCGAGCATCCACCTTCCCTCGCCCGAGCAGTTTACAATAACTTCTTTATTACAATCATCGGAATATGGTTATCAACTTTTTCCAATGTCTTAGTCTACTAGAAGAAATGGTGAAATGGCGACTGCTCAATCTGCCTTATTAGCATCCAGGCTCTGGAGAATTCCTACCTACAATCACATCCTATGTGTGTATTTCTTACGGACAACCCTTAAATTATGTTCCGGTCATCTGTTATGTTATGTTCTGTAAACATTTCAATGTACTTCTAATGCATTAGAAATTATAAGCACATACTGAAAATTTAAACACCAAGAAAAAATTTGTTTTAATATGGGCAGCTAAGTAAAAAATGTCTTAATGTAAAATTCAAGACATTAATAAAATTGAATTAGCTTTACAATTTTTTACTTTTATATTTAAAAATATTTAGAGTAATTACTAATTTATTTCCCGTCCATTATTTTTGTAATACTATCTTCTTTTTAAAAATAAATATTTTAATAAAATTTTAAAATATACTATTAATTAGAACCTACAATAATTAAATCATATTTTGTAGCTTAAATACAATTTTGTACTTTTTATATATTTAAAATTCATACCGTAGTTAACAGACTAGTTAAATAATTTTACTAAATATTTTTATAAACCTTATTACATGATGAAAAATAGTTGTAATTTTAATAGAAATAGTTTTAATATTAGTTTTAATATTTAATATTTATTATTTTCCCAACAAAAATTGTTTTAAATTTAACAAGAAAGAGCAGCAATCAATTGGCTCACACTATAATTAACCTTAAACTGTTGTTGAATTTAATGATACGCACACAAGTAATTAATGGATTTATGTAAGGCTAGTATAACCCTAAGGTAGCAGAATATTCATACTCACCCGTAAATATACAACTTTTCAATTTCGAAATAAAAATTACAGGGAAAAAATTTTAAACTTAATTTAAATAATTCTATTATTTTAAAATTTAAATAAAAAAAAAATAGTTTTAGTAGTGTTCATAAGCTGGTCATCATGCATTATACTTTAATGTATTATAGTTTTCTAGAAAATTACATAGATTTCAAACAGAGTGTTTATTACTTTTAACCATAATACGCAAAAAGGAAAAAAATAAAAAAAAATAATCGTTTAGGAAACTAAGCAAACGCTTTATCAACTTAACATTTCATTTATAAGAATCAAAACTGACTTACATACTAATTTGCATTAATGGAAAACGTCCGAGATTCTTCTCCGGATCATTAATCTGATGCAAGAGAAACTTGGTTGTTAAATTGAACATTTGGATAACAGAAAAGGGACATTATTTTTAACGGTTATTGTAGATGTTTGATATGAAAGACATTTGCAATACCTGTACTTTATTTTTCTCATTATACAAGATGTCTCATCAAATACCAAACTAAAGCTCATTTGACAGGTTTTTTGCTTTTAGAGAAAACCACATTATTACGTCACCTAAAAAATTTTTTTTTTGTTTTTAAATGAAAAATTTAAAATTCAATTTTTTCGAACTTTAAAGTCATGTGATTCTATGTCATATTGACTATTTGACACAGGAACGGAATTCAACCTAAAATTTAAAACAGAAAAAAAAAACAGACAGGAGTGACGTTAAATACCTGTTGAGCTGTGAACATTATCTCCACACTTTTTAAATCAAAACGGTATTCAACAAATGAACTATAAATAATATTGAATATAATTATTATTTATATAAAAAATAATTAAATATAAAATCTGACAAAAACTATAAAAAAATTTTGCAAACTTATTAATTAAAAATACAGTCAAGAACGAATAAGTGCTTAACTGATATGTACAATAACCGCATAAACTTTCACAGTTTTAAATTAGCGTGTTCCGTTTCATATGAAACAATGTAATTTTTAACGGATAAGAACAAAAACTTTTGAGTGCAACAAAAATACACTCCCAAATGACAATTTGTATAATGGCAAATCAATTTAGATTTGCAATATCATTGGCAATTAATGCCAATATCTTTTAATAAATGGCACAGCATTACTTTGAAAATAAAATTATGAAAAATGTATTAAACCAGTAACATAATCTCAATTTGTAACAAATGCACATAAGCATGAGTGCAGATGGATTTTTAAAATACAATAAAAAAGGCATTGAGTATATACTTTGGAAATATGTGGTTAGTAGTTTTTAGCCATTAAAAGAAAGCCATTTCAGAAATTTTTTATTAAAAAATTCAATTTATGGGTACATATGGATAAATACCTGCGTAAGTACATAAAATTCTCAAACAAATAATCCGTTCTTGACTATAATATATATATACAATATATACATACATATATTTATGTGTGTGATCACCTTTTAACCTAATAGATTTTATAAAATAAATGTAGTAAATTATTGTTACATTAAAATTTAAATGTTTTAGAGTTTTTTTTTAGTGATTCCTTTTTTTTTTAAACATTACTTACATATATTTTACAACATTATCATAAAAATCACTACAACGTGTTTATAGGCGACGTTTAGAGCCACTTTTTGAAGAAGAAACCGAAAGTGATGAAGAAAAAACTCAACTGGAAAGTGAAGAAATAAAAAAGGTGGGTCAATTTCGCAGGATAGTATTCTTTTCAAAACAACACACTTAATATAATTATATTTTATATAGAGTTTTCATACAATTCATTTTTGTTTTTAATTTCACTAAATTATTTTCATCATTTATTATTTTATGTAGGTCTTAATTAGTGTTACAAATTTCAGTTGAATATTTTAGAAAGCTTTTAAAGTATTATTTAATTTTCACTTCATTTATTAACACAATCTTATAATATATTATTAGGATGGAAGGAAAATAAAAAAGCAAACTCAAAATTTTTGAAAAGTATTTTAATCAACAATAATTATCGTATTCGAACTTGTAAATTATCCAAAATTATTAAAAAATTTTGATATTATTAAAATATTGTTAATATTTTTTAAAAATGAAAAATTTAAGTAATCTAAATTGTCAAAATTTTATTTGAAAAAGTTGAAATAAAATCACCGATGTCACTTTGATATCATCTCAAAAACTAATTCCGAATTCTTCAATTTCAAAATCTAAAAACTAAAAATTCTAAAAACTAATTGTTGATAATGTTTTCATAAGTTGCAGCATGAGAAAACTTCTTAAATGCTGTTGACAAAATAATTTGAACTGCAAATTATGGTTTCTAAAGTAATTTTTATATATTTAGGAAAACTCGAAAACAAAAACGTACATCGAAAAAATGTTTTACTGTGATTACACTACACCGTAGCTTCTTTGCCAAACATTAGCAAGTAGTTAATAATTTCGCTTATAGGGCGCTTATTTCACATTAAACTTTCAATATATGCAATAGGTCAAACGGGTATTTTTTCTTAAACTAATAGTTATAATACTAATAAATCTCAATTTTTTTGGAATCGCTGCAGCGTAATTTCAAAGAGTATGCTTTTCAAAATTATTACTTATAACTTTCATACATACATACTTATAACTTTCCATCCAAAATCACATACAATCAGAATAATAATCATCATAAATTCATTAGCCATCATTACTTTTTTTTTTTTTGTTTTTATTTTCATATCTTTTTAGAACGTTATAGTGACTGTAGTGAGATTATAAAATTGCAATAGTTTATGAATTTATATGCAATTTAAGAATAAATTTTTTATAATTATGACGCACGCCCTAGGTCTGCTAATATTAAACAAAAATTTTTCATATTTTGATGCGCTCACGTCTGTTTCTTTCGTAAGCAATTTTAAAATTTTCTATTAAAGTATAAATATAATACCAATTTGCCTTGCTACAATGTTAACAAAAAAAAAAAAACAAACAAAAATAATAAAATCAATAAGAAATTAATTCCAGAATTGATTAGTTGAATTCTATTCCCAAAAATTGGTAGGGGGAAACAGCGGCAAATGGCCACGATTTAAAAAGTTCCAGTGGAAGTTCAAGCGAGGAAGAATCGGAAAAAGCGATAGCGACATCAGTTCCAGTACAACAAACTTTCAAGAAAATAGAAAAAAAAACGATTCAAGAAGAAAAATTGACACCGATAACGATTCAATTGCGTCTAAAGCAAATGCAAATACAAAAACGGAATTTTTTAATGATGAGAGAAGCAGGCTTAATAACATCTTCGCCACAACAATCAACAATGACAACGAAAAATATACCGATGCGGGAAACAGCTATTTCTACAACAACCGAAGCAACAAAACAATCGATATCAATGAAAGAGCCATTGAACTCAAAGATAGAACAACAACCATTAAATCAAAAACAGAGTGGAATTACGGCTCCGATTCTGACGATGACGAGAGTTTTGAAGACATCAGCGATTACTACAACAATGAGCAACGAGAAAAGTACTATATCAGTAGGGGAAGTTTGTTTGCAAACAACGGCACCAATGAAGAATCCAAAATTTTCACCTCCTCCGCCGCCGCCCCGACGTCTTCTTTTAACCAAATCAAATCAAAATTTGGAAGAAACTGGTGTTCAAACAGTAAACAATCGAGTAAGTTGGCGATTTCTGAAAACAATACAACTTAATATAGAATTAAAATACTTATTATAGATACAGCTTCCTCAAAAATCTGGCGATACTGCTGATATTGGTTCGGGGGCTGCTATCGAACGACCCCCGACAACGCATCAAATAGACCATTTTCTAGACCGATTTGTACACACAGGTCAAAAGGGTGCATACAATACAAAAGACTCTGTGGAAAATATAGGCCTTGCCGAAAACGAAATATTAAAGAGCAAAGCGGAGCTAGTACAAGTGGAGAAGAAATCAGCAAATACCTTAAAGAAAGAGGGTACGCTGACCCAACAATTCCGTCAACAAGCCGAGAAAATTTCGGTGGAAACGGCAAAAGACGATATGGACTGTGCACAAAATTTCTCTCGTTTAAGCCCTCGGTTAGAAATGCGCTTAGCCCTCAATCACGATATTCTAGGGGACGAAGATTTAATAAGCTACAATCCTGGTCCCGACTTAACAAGAATTCTAGGGTAAAATTGTCCTGTTTCCTCTTTATTTGCTAGTATAGTTTTTTCTTTTAAATCAGGCACGATCTGTCAACATATCATCGGCGAACGGGAAAAGATTTGCTGAATCGAGCGACACTGAACCGTTCTACGACAAATCGAATTCAGCCAAAAGAGGCTGTCATATCGTTTTGTCAACAGCGAAATTCCAAAATGGATACACCAACAGTCAAACGACGTCAACAACAAATACAGGAACAAAAAAGTCAAACAAATCAAAATATATGGAACAGTTCTGTATTTGTGGATCAAATCAAAAACGACGTCGGAAACGAAAACAAGCAAAGAAAATACAGCAACAGCAGCGACGGGAGCAAATTAAGCGATCTAGAGCTCTTAGCGAAACAAGAGAAGATGTATTGCATGTCTCAATTGAGGAGTGGATCACCAGCGAAGAGTCTTCAATACGAAGTGAAGGAGAAAAATATCTCGAAGCTCGCGACAACAATGATGACGACTGTTTTGTCATCGCAAGCGACAACTGTAACAACGACAACAATTAGAAGAAATTCTTTTGCAATGGCAGTAAGTGATAACAGTGACAGCGATAGCCTTATAGGAAGTGGAAATGATAGAGGAATCGGAAGATCAAGTAGATTGTAAACATTAAAAATGTATAAGATAATAATAAATAAATTTTTTACAAATTTATGTATAAATTTTCAGGTACAATTTTTTGTTAAGAAGAAATTCAGAAAATCATTTAAGTAAAATATTATCACAAAATTCTCTTAGTGAATCAACTGGAAGTAGTACGCCAGGTCGTCGTCTTAGTAGTTTGTTATCTCCTAGAAAAGATAATGTAAGTATAAAATAACTATTCACCATCATCACTTTATAACTTTTTATGATTCTATTATAGTTACCAATACTTTACTTATCTTGCATTTCGATCACAAAAGTATTTTGATCAAAAGTATTACGTCTTTCTAAATTGTGTATTGTAACTAATAAAATTTTCATATTAATTATATAATTACAGGATAAACCATCTTTAAATCGCCGATTTTGGAAGCAGTTAACGAAAAGACGCAGAGCTAATTCTGTTTCACAATTTTCGGAAATTTCAACTAGTTAATATAAAAAATATTTCCTTCATAAATTTTTTCCATTTTATTTAAAAATTTTTTCATGTAGTGCGTAATTATAAAATTATAGTTATTAAAAATTTTCCAATAATGAAATCATAGAAAATAACCAGATTTGAAATTGAAAACGTTCACTTTAAAAACTGTTATCAAAAGTATTACTTTTATTTAATAAATTCCTATAATTTAAAAATTTTTTGGGTGCATCAGCTTTGTAATATTGATACGAGTTGATGTATATATGTATTTTAAAATCGAATAATAAGTATCATACCGTCGTGACGGTATAAGTTTTTGGAATTCGATTTAGGTTATTGTAAATTTTTATGGAAATTACAATTAAGATTCAAACATAGCTATAATTGTATAAGTCCTTCGTATATACGAATAATGGCCATTATAAACGGAAAAATTATTTGAAATATTTATATTATGCTTGAACAATTCGAAGATTATATTACTATAAAGAGTTCCAAATGCACAAAAGAAACTATACTCTAATTGTTACCATAATGTGGTATTCGAAATTTTTAAATATTTGTTTGCTCAATTCATTTTTAATCATTTTTTTTAGATTCTACATTTATTGGAATTGAAGATATATCTAAGCAATAAGAAAGTAGCATTTTTTTTTTAAATTTTCTTAATATGAAATTCCTAGTATCGTAATGAAATATAGTGTATATGTTGTGGACAATACCAACATGGAAGAATTATCTCGTTTTAGTTACCCGTATATATAGTAACAAGCCAAATCACGTCATTTGGAAAATAATTTTCAATTTTTCATCCGTTTGGAATGCTCATCGGTTAAAATATTATACCAATGTATAGAAAAAGCATGAATCACAATTAAGTCTGAATCACAATTTATAAGAACCATAATAATTTTAAATCTAAAATCATTTGTAGACAAAATAATTAATTATTTTACTCGCAACATTCAAATAGAATTATTTTTATTAATTAAAATTCATATATAGATTAAGTTTAGTCAATATAACACAATACATATAGAATTTATTTTTAACTAAATTAAAATTTTAATTCCAATTGTTTAAAAATAGCTTATTAATAATATTATTGTTATTTAATTTATACAGTTAAAATTTTAAAAACGATTTTATTAATTATTAACTATTATTTAATTCAGCTTAAGTTAAAAAAAATAGGAAAGTTATTTTTTACTTACACAGTTGGGGCTGAATGTAAAGTTCAAAGTATGTATGTACTCGCGTATATGTAAGTAGTTTAATTCGAAGAATTTTTTGAACATTGAAAAATTAGGGATAATAGTTGTTGGTCTCTCCTAAAAGTATCATCATCACGTCATTTTTAAACAAAACAATCAAACTTAAAACTATTATGTTTTTCCCTCCTTTTTTCTAATAATTTAATCGACACAATAGTATCTTAACGTAACTCTTCGTATAGAATTTTATGGGATTTGCAACCGATATAATAATTGCAGTTACCAATATTAACCTAAAACTAAGTTTTTTTTTATCTAATATTTTATATTTTAAAGTAACTCTATATCATGTAATGTGTTTTCTATTTTTGAACAAATTAAATAACAATTGGGCGCCGTCGCGCAAATAACAATGTCAGATGCGACATTAAAAAATTACCTATAAGATATAGTTTTGGATTTAAATATTTCTTTTTGCAGAACTAAATTAATCTATTGCGAATAATTACTAACTTTTATATGTCATTTCAAAAAATAATTAAAATATTATTTTAAATTATTTATTATAAATTATTTAAAATTATTTAAAATATGTATAATATATTATTATAATTAAATTATTTAAAATATGTTTTCGAAGTAAAAAAAAAAAGTTGTGGTTACAATGTTATTCGCGCAAAGCAACGCTACATATTAGCGTTACATTTGAAAATTGTAAACAAAAAAGAAAAAAATTCAAAACAAAAACATTATTTCTGTTAACTTTGAGATAAAAAAAAAACAAAACTTGTAAAAATTGTTAAAAATATTCACGGCTTTAATTTTTAAGGTTTGTGATATTAGAAATTAAAAAAATTTTTGAAATTAAAAAAGCTTTTAAATAATAAATAAAAAAAAAATTTTTATAAAACAATATAATTTGGCATTAGATACCAAACACTTACATATTTAATTATATTCACACCCATATATAACATTTATACAAGTTATTTAAAAGAAGAATATGTAAAAAAAATGGGCCAATCATGAAATTCTTTAATAAAATGTGAAATAGTTAAAAATATTATTTGAGTAAACATTGATTAAATATATTATAAATAACATACATTATATTTAATCAATAGTACATACATTTATTATGTATATAAGTACACTGATTCCTCGAGATACGATGTCTTCTAATACGACATTTCGACTTACGACAAAATATAATTTTAGTCATTTTTGTATTCGTATTGCGACATAAATTTCGGGATACTAAATTAAAAAATTTTGCATTATTTTTACTTTTTATTGATTTATTAACATAAATCTACTAAAAATAAAATTACTTTACATAAGACTATACTTTATGTATAGAAATTTTTAATGAACCTGTTCCTATAGCTACCTTCATACATACTTGTATAATTTCAATTTGAATAACGTATAATAACATTTATACATTATTAATGGATAGGATGAATATCGGATGAACATTAATGAAAATTATGTATGTATATAATTTAATTTTTATTTACAAAGTAGCGCAAAATTAGAATAAGAATTTGCTATTAGAATAAGCTGGCGATATGTAATTTTGTTTTTGTATTATATTTTTTTATATAATATCGATTTTATATTTAATTTTTATTAAACATAGAATTGAAAAACTACATTTTTGCTTTCATATATTATTTTCCCTCCTCTTACGACAACTCAACTTACAATACTACTTATATTTTTGGTACCAAAAAACGTCGTATCTCGAATACCTAGCGTTCATACATATGTACATAAATGAATAATGTATAAACATAACAAAATATTATTGATATAATTTACATATTATATAATGTAAAGAATATATATTCATACATACGTATAAACACTATAATATAATATGTAAATAATAAAATTTCAAATGAAAAATATTTCTTTTAATAAGAAAAATGTGTATGCACCTAAATAAATAAATAACTATTCGAATTTCATCTTAAAAGTAACATTTATGCATATGATGTACTTTCATATATAAATAAATCTTCATGATTTTTAAAAGGATGAACTTCCATAAAGGAGATTTCCCATAATATACTAATAAGTTTGGTTTTAATAAACGGAATCGATAAGGTACTTTAGCATTCTAGAGTTCGGCCAATTCTCAAAAGAAATATTTTTATTTGAACAGAACGGTTTTAATTTTTTTTTTTAATTTCAAATAAGATTTTATTTACAGAATTAAAAAAGCCCAGTTTCTATTTATCAATTTACGTTATTAAGCATTTGAAAAACACAAAAACAACGCGATTGAAACCTTCTTTTTTATTTTTTAAAATCAGAAATATTGCAGGAGAAAAACAATAGTGTATTGTTTTAATTTCAAAATACATAAATAAAAAAATTATGATAAAGAAAATTGTTATTGATAATAATTAATAAATTAATTAAAAAAACAAAGTAAATTAATTTTAGAAATAATTAAAAAACTTGTGAGTGATACCTTTTAAAAATAAAAATCTTAAAAATAAAATTAAATATGTTAAATTTTTTCCAATTGCAATTTACATATTATACATATACAGGGTCTTTAGGGATTATTCTTTGATCAATTTCCAGCAAAAAATCGTATTAGTGAGTACAATTGATAGAGGCTTGTTCTATCTATGTTGCACGACTTCAAAGTTATAAGCATGAAGAAAAAATTGGAACCTATTTTTTTGAACAGGCAATAGATCGAAAAACAAGTAGTTTTAGGGTCTTGTTAGAATACTATTTTTCTCTAAAAGTAAATTATTTTGTGTGTTTTTATAGAAATTAGAACATGGTGAAGTGAACTCTTTTCGGGGTACTCTTATAGGATATTTCAATCAACTGTTTGTTCCATTTATTACATTACGTGGCTTTCAAAAGTTCAAAAAAAAGATTTCAGAACAAAAAACAAACATTTCCAATACATACTCTCTTTAATTCACATACGTACGACCTTTTTTCTTTGTTGCGTATAAAATTCTTATCATCATTCGTATCTTTAATACGTTGTACTTGTTTGAAGAGTTTGGAAAATTTTGATATAATCAATAATTTGTGTTAATTGAAACTAATACGCATAATCCTGCTTTAATAGCATTTATTTTGGTTTTTAATTTTAATTTTTTATTAATTTACATTACTGTTAAGAACTATAATTTATATTTGTGTCTAGATTCAAGATTAATAGTATTTTGAGACATATTTAGTAAAATATTTTAGTAAATCGGTTATATAGGCTAAATCTTGAGACGCCAAATTTATTGTTCACTAATTATAAATCAGGTTTATTGCACATACAGCAAATAGCAAGAAATTTATATATATTTACTATATCTACAACAGCACTTTTATCAAAAAGGTAGACCAAGAACAATATACATATGTATTTACAAAAATTTTGAATTATTTAACTGATTTATTCCCGTACTTTCACTATAAATATTTTATTAATGACAAAAAGTTTACTGATAAATCAACATTTAAGTTCAATAATCCTAACAAAATTATCTTCCCCACAGCTAGCCAATAGCATTTTTCCACATTTTGGACTAAATTGTAATTTTTTCACTGTTAGGTGATGTGCTTCTTCTTTTGGAATTGTGCGTATGTGTTCAAAAGTATCAAAAAATTTGTAAATTCTTATATTTCCACTTTCAAATCCAATAGCTATTAGATATTCGTTTTCATTGTCTTTGAAATAATGTGGAGCAAAACATACCGCAGTAATTGATTGTCCAGGAATTTCGAGACATTCCAACGCTTTCCATTTTTTTAAACTGTTTTGACTTTCCGTTTCTCCTTTGATCCACAGAACAACTTTGCCATCTCTGGAGGATGTAGCGAACAATTTTGAATCATGAGACCAATCACACGACCAAATAATTCTAGTATGGATCCCATTAGATTTTTCAGATTTCGCCTCTAGCATAAAATTCGTTTCACCGTTGTTTGAAAAATTTCGAAATAAAGTCCAACTTCGATCACGAGATACTGACAAAAGATACTCGTTATTTGGTGAAAAACATAATTGGGTCACAGTTAACTGATGCGACATCAATTTTTGTACATGTTTTCCAGATTCCGTATCCCAAAGTAAAATATGTGCATGCTCGGCAGAAGTTGCTCTACATGAAGAGGCAAGCCATTTGGAATTTTTCGAGGACGACAAAGCATAGATTTCAAAACCATGACCATAGAGTTTATGAATTTCGGGCCAGAGCGTATTTTGCATTAGAATTTCTTCTTGAGGAGGAGCTTTCAAAGAAACTGAAGCATAATAGTTTTCAGGATATTCATCTTTCAAGGGCCTTTCTTCACTCGTTTCTTCTGCAATATATACTGCTTTGTTAGATAACCCAAGGGACGGAACCGACGCTCCTTTAGGTAGACTTTCAAGTATCTCATCACCTTCTTGATCCGTCGAAATTTTACATATAGATCGGAAGTTTTTAATAAAATCAACTGTTGCTTGAAACATTCTTATAATTTTTTCTTCTCCCCCGCTTGCAAATTTGTATCTACCGATAGTAGCAATGGTTTGCATGTCATATCCATGAATTTGGGGTCGTGCTACTTCATGCCATGTACTACTGCATTCGCCATCAGTTCTTTTAAATGGAGCATGAATTCTTGTTGTTTGATCGGCAGACACCGAAAAAAAAAACTCTCCTCCAGGCTCCCAAGATAGATCACGTACTTCTTGGAAATGTCCCGAAACCGTTATCCTTGGTTCCCAGACACTTTCATTTATTTCAGACTGCTTCCATATATGCAAACCTCCTTGAAAACTGTGACCTATTATAGATTTGCCATCAGAAGAAAATTTACCTCCAAAAAAGCCTAAGGAATTTCCACCAACTTCACCTAATCGGAATCTTTCAGTCCAAACTCCTATATCTGCATCAAATTCCCAAATTATTAAAGTTTTGTCCATCGAAGCTGATAAAAGTTTAATAATGCCTTCACTATTTTTATACCACTGGACACCATAAACCCAACCTTCATGTCCCTGCAAAACCGATTCGACACTTATGGCAACTGTTATATTTTTATATGAATTATCCGAGACTGAAAACAAATTTTCTTCAATTTCGATTTCATTATTTCCTTTTTTTTTATTTGAACATTCTTCATCATCTGTTCTAGGTGATATTTTCCATAACCTAATAAATGTATCTTGAGAGGAACTACATAATAATAAATCGTTTTCATTTGTGATGACAAAATCCAACCCTCTTACCCAGTCATCATGACCTTTTAAGTTATGTAATTTTTGAAAATTACTTTTCTCTGGAATGTCAGTTTCTACCCAAATTGAAATGCTATTATCATCACTAGCTTTTGCAAGAATTGCCTTATTATATTTTGGCAATATAGAAACAACCAATCCTAGGCAGATTCCTTTTCCAAGATTCAATATTTGAAAACAATCAGCATTTTCACTCACTATAGACCATAATCGAACTGTTGAATCAGAAGAAGCTGTGGCTATAAAAATCTCTTTTTCCTTATATATTCCATCGATTAAATAAACCGCGTTTGAATGACCTTTTAAAATTATTGGGTTGCAGGTAATTTCGTCAGAAATATCCCACATAATAGCTAGGCCGTCACTTCCGCCAGATACAAAGTTTGTTACCTTTTCTCCATTTAATCTTCGTATCCATTTCACACAATTCACGGGTTTCTCGTGCTTTACGAAGGTTCTTACTATCTTAGCTGATTGTTGAAATTCTACGTTCAGCAAGCAAATGCCGCAACATGCTCCATACACAACAAGACCATTGTTTCCCCAATCTAAACAGGCAGGTGTTCGATTGCAAGCAACGGAAGTATAAATATTTTCTGTTTTCATTATCTTTAACCCGTACCCGAATATATTTTCTATGTTGAAAAATAAATACAAAATATTAATTTTTTGATTCACATTCTAATAGAAAAAAAAACAATATGTACATATGTATGTAGTTCTTTTTAATATTAACCAAAATTGACATTTACACATAACCTGCATTTGGAATATTGAAGGGATGCAACCACGACATAGTAAAAGTACAAACTTGTGAATCGACTATCGATATTTCCCACGCTGCATTCCGAATGTATTTAGGAATCTACGTAGGTAGAATATAAAAAAAACGTCTTATTTTTTAAATACTATTAAAAATTTAGATTTTAATTTAAAAATAGATTTTTTTACAAAATTTAAAAATAGATTCGCAAAATTTGGTTTAAAAATGGGCTAATAAATTTATTATAGAGTTATAGAGAGAATACGTAATTTGAAACTTAAATTTTTAGCAAGTATTTTTTATCACTTGTAAAATTATAATATTTCTGCTCATTTTTTATATATACACACGAATGTAATTGTTTTAAACTTTAAAGAGGAATTCGCCGTTTCTGTAACTTCATATTTGTATTACTCTTGATTTGTGTTACTAATGGATTTGTATAAAAATTTGAAATTTTGTCATTCTCTTCATATTCAGTGAATCATTTTTTCTCTCTCTCAGATTCAACTCAAGATTTGCTTAAAACGTCAAATTTATTATGGTTGAAATTCATTCCAAATGCACGTCTGATAAAGTTGCATGATGTTGAGTGGAAATCTACCTTTAATTTTTCTTATGTTAGTAAATAAATAGTGTTGCCATTTTGGCCCGTGTAAACCATTTTTGATTATTTTGCTGTGGCTCAATTTTCTTGATTTACCTTACATTCGGCACATTTTATAATTTTAAACTGTTTTTTATTAGTTTTGTAACAACACAATATCAATTTTGTATCAATGGCTAACATGCATTTCATTTCAAATGATTGGCTACAATTTCAAACTTTGGCAAATTACGCGAAAAAACCGAAATGCAAAGTAATACTTCAAAGGTTGACACCTTAAAAATTTTGTATGGTAAAATAACTGCAAAAACATAAATCTGCTTTCAAATCCTAAATATTGATAGACAGTAGATTGAAAAATAGAATGTAAAACAAGTATTTAATGTCAAATTTTACAATAAAAAAAATTCATAAAAAACTTTAGTTTCAATATGTAGCTAATTTTAGCTGATTTGATTGATATATATTTGAAATATGAACTAAAATGGCTCTTAAAATTTCTCAACTGGTACAACTGTTCACAAAACATAAATCTAGTTGCATGATCTTATAATATTAACATCTATCGATTATATATGTCGTCTTGAACGAATGTGACGTCATCAGGAGAGTTACTTAATATTGTTCGTAGTTGTATATGAAGTTATACAAACAAGTTGTTTTAAATTTGAAAAAAAAAATAATAAGTTATGAGTTAAATATAATCAAAAAACTGTATACATATTCAAATTATAAGAGTAACAGACTCAAAGATAAAGCGAATAGATAAAAAAAATATATGAAGATAAAGACATTTTAATAAATAAATGCAATCAATGAAAAAAAAACTATACAAAATGCTAACTTAAATAATTTTAATAATCAATTTACATATTTGTAAAAAAAAAAAACAAAAACAGAAATTTACTTAAAGAAAACCATAAATATTTACAAGATTTCCTCACGGTGATGTCATATTTTCAAACGTCAAAGTTATCTAGCAGACCTTATTATTATTAAACCCTGATCTAAAAAATTAAATTTTAAATTATTGATTGACATTTCTTTTCTTGAAAAATTTTTCTGCAAGTACACGTGAAGTAAAAAAATTCTAGCGGATTTTATATTAAATTAAGGTTGGTTATTATTGAAAATTTTAATAAATATCAAAATTTAAAAATATTTTCATTTATTTACACGTAGGGGAAACTAGAAAGAGAAGTTTCCAATAATTCAAAAAAAAAAATCGATCATAAAAATTCTTCCAAATATTTGTTAAATCTAATTTAGTTTACACTTAATAATATTGGCTTTAAATACATATTATATTAAACTAGTTATACTTTGTCAAGGACAATAGTTCGTTTCTGAACATAACCTGGAATTTAATAATTCCGTAAAAGGTAAAATATGAACACGAACAATGAAAATGCATTGTACATATGTATTTAGTTGAGCTAGTATTGCGCATCTTCAATGCAAAGTGAAAATAAGTGTTTTTTGAACACAAAAAATAAATCTTTGTTTAAATGATAAAATTAATAAATCATTGTTATTGCAGATAAATTATGCCTTCAGATGCAAAAAAACGTGAAGCACAACGGAAAAAGGATGCTCGTAACAAAAAAATTCAAAGTAATAAACAAAATGGAACAATCAATAAAGAAAAAAATGGTACTGCCGAGCCTGTAGAATTAACAGAGGAGGAAAAACTTTGTGCAAAACTAGAAGAGGAAGCTCGCATCAGTGCCGAAGCTCGAGCATGTACTGGATCTTGGGCGCTTCATGAGAAATCGAGAGATATAAAAATTGCAAATTTTTCAATAACATTTTTCGGTAGTGAACTTTTGCAAGACACAATGTTAGAGTTGAATTGCGGCCGACGTTATGGTTTAATTGGTTTAAATGGCTGTGGAAAATCTTCTTTGCTTTCAGTATTAGGTAATCGCGAAGTTCCAATACCCAATCACATCGACATATTTCATTTGACTAGAGAAATTCCTGCTAGTTCAAAAACGGCCTTGCAATGTGTTATGGAGGTGGATGAAGAACGAATCAAATTAGAAAAGTTGGCTGAAGAATTGATCACTAATGATGATGATGAGTCTCAAGAGCAATTAATGGATGTATATGAACGTTTGGATGACATTGCGGCCGATTGTGCTGAGGCAAAAGCCGCTAGAATTCTTCACGGTTTGGGATTTGATAAAGAAATGCAACAAAAACAAGCAAAAGATTTTTCTGGAGGATGGAGAATGAGGATTGCTCTTGCCAGAGCTTTATTCGTCAAACCTCACTTGCTGTTATTGGATGAACCAACAAATCATTTAGATTTAGATGCATGTGTATGGTTGGAAGAAGAGTTAAAAACATACAAACGCATTTTGGTTTTAATATCACATTCTCAAGATTTTTTGAACGGTGTTTGTACTAATATAATTCATATGAACAAAAAACGATTAAAATACTTTGGCGGCAATTATGATGCATTTGTGAAAACTCGCTTAGAACTTCTGGAAAATCAAATGAAACAATATAATTGGGAGCAAGATCAAATTGCCCACATGAAAAACTATATAGCGAGATTTGGTCATGGTTCAGCCAAGTTGGCAAGACAAGCTCAATCAAAAGAAAAAACTTTAGCTAAAATGGTTGCACAAGGTTTAACTGAAAGGGTCATAGAAGACAAGGCCTTAAATTTCTATTTCCCATCTTGCGGAACAATTCCTCCACCAGTTATTATGGTCCAGGTAAAAAATATTTTATATTTGTTAAATAAATAATAAAATCGTTAATATTTTGTAGAATGTTAGTTTCCGATACAATGAGAATACCCCTTTGATTTACAAGGACTTAGAATTCGGTATAGATTTAGATACAAGGTTGGCTTTAGTAGGCCCTAATGGTGCCGGAAAAAGTACATTATTAAAACTTCTCTATGGCGATCTAGTACCTACTTCAGGAATGATTCGCAAAAACTCTCATTTAAGGTATAGGATAAATTTTTATTTGCAAAATAGTTCTCAATAAATTAAAACTTGTGTCACTGCAGAATTGCAAGATATCACCAACATTTACATGAGCTGCTTGATCTTGATGTAAGTCCACTGGAATACATGATGAAAGCATTTCCAGAGGTAAAGGAGAAGGAAGAAATGAGAAAAATCATAGGAAGATATGGTTTAACAGGACGGCAACAAGTTTGTCCAATAAGACAACTTTCTGACGGTCAGCGTTGTCGTATAGTTTTTGCTTGGCTAGCCTGGCAAGTACCACATTTATTACTATTCGACGAACCCACAAATCATTTAGACATGGAAACTATTGACGCTTTGGCTGATGCTATTAATGATTTTGAAGGTGGAATGGTACTTGTAAGCCACGATTTTAGATTGATTAATCAGGTAAAAATACTTAATTTGGAATATTTAAATTGTTGTCGGATATTCTAAATTTTATTCTTTAAAATTAGGTTGCTGAAGAAATTTGGGTCTGTGAAAATCAAACTGTTACAAAATGGAAGGGTAATATTCTAGACTACAAGGAACACTTGAAGAATAGAATTATGAAAGAAGAAAAGAAAAAAAATAAATGAATAAGTTTTGCACATTTTCGTAAAATAGAGAACGTAATTAAAAAATAGATACAAAATTTAGCTAAAATTTTGATTATTATCTTAATTATAACTTTTTTTTGATATTATCCAAGTAACCTTTTCAAATTATGTATTTTATTTTGTAACGCACTGTGGAAACTAATGTTTTCTGCTATAAATAGTAGAACTTTTCATCTGGTGATCAATTTGGAGTTAGTAAAATTTTAAATATATTTATGTATATCTATAAAACTAACATAATATATTATCAATAATTTAACAAATAACTGGAAAACAAACAAAAAATGTTCCAACTTTTTTCTGAAATAAATAATTTTATAAATTTAAAATCATTGTAACCGGAAAAAGCAAAAATACGTTATTTTATTTTCGAACTCAAGAAAAAATGCTGACTTTAACTTTCGAAATAAAAACTCATGTTTAAATGAAGTCATTTTGTTTATATTCCGTTTAACTTTTTTAAATCATAATGTAAATCTTAAACTGTATATTGTAAAATGGGCAATCACTTACGGGCATCTTACATAACCAAAGTAACTTCCAATAATTTGTCTATTCAACAACAATGGTGGGCAACTCAACCCTAAGCCTACTAAAGACGGTACAATGATTCGTTCGCAATATTAATGACAACATTTCCTAATATTTGCCATATATCGGGAAATGATACACAAATCGTTGTATAAATCAAACTGACTACTATTAAGCTCTAATTTTCAAGTGCATCTGCAATTATCTTACATATTTTAAATGAACTATTTGACTTATTTAATATTTTTATTCTTTTATCGGCAACTTATAACATATGAAATACTTAAATAATTGTAACATACCTTTTTCAGATATGCCTGAATGTATCATAAATATAAACTAAATTTATTAAACAAATGCAAATTTTCTAGAATAATCACTATATTTTAAATCAATATCTTCGCTGCATGCTTCTCTAAGCACTGTTAACAGTTGATCCATTTCTTGTAAGGACTTGTCAATCCAACTATTATTAACACCAACGGTGGATTGTGTCAATAAAGCTAGTTGCCCCACTGCTAAAACTAAAGCTGCCATTCTTGCTTCTAAAAGCCTAGGATCTAAAGGAGGATACATTGCTTGTACTACATCATCTACTCTTGACGGTATTCTTCTTGCCGCTTCAATTAAACGATTAGCAGAGTCTTTTAAAACTGGTCCTTTGGTCATTGCTAATTTAGCTAACATTTCTGTTAAGCTATGACATGTCCGTAATATTGATAAACAGTGAGGGATAAGTCTAAAAAAAAAATAACGCTTATACTATGTAGATCTATAAATACTCATAAACCACTAGTTGATTACAAAACTGCTTCAAAAGTGTGTACATATTTATAATTACTAAATGATTTGTATATATTCATATTTAAAAATTCTTACCCAGAAACATCATCCACCCATTGTTGATTATTTATTATTTGTTCCAACGCAGTTCCCAGACCAATATCACAAAGGGCTAAGGCCAATTCTGGTTCTTTACGTTTTTTATTTTTTTTTAAATTTCTTGAAGTAGAAATTAATTAAGATCATTTCTAATAATTATATATGTAAATATTTACGTTGAGTTATAGTCCAAGCGCTCCCAATTTTGTTTTTTCCTTGAATTTTTACAAACAAGAACCAATGCTATAAGTGCGCCAAAGAATATAGCAGCCAAAGCACCAATAGCAGCTGCTATTGTTAAATCCATAGCTTGATTTTCCATTTTCTTTTTTTAAATCTACAGAAATCTAAAATAAAAACAATAGTAACTAAATAATTGTTTCATTCATGTAGATTGTGTATATGTATAAATTATGAAAAAAGTATATACTATACATACAAATATTGACAATTATTTGAGTTGCGCAATGCGCAAACCACTTTTCCTACATTCATTGACAATACTCATAATCTGTATACATACATAATAAAGTTTATTCGCATCCTAAGAGTAAGATGTAAGTAAGTTTATGTATATGAAAAAACATAACGAGTGGATATCGCTTAGTTCAAAATTTGATATAAATTTTGTTGTTGATTGCAATTTTGTATGATGAAGTTTCACATTAGTGTTATACATGTGAAACAATTTTAAAACTTGAATACATGTGTAAAAAATTTCTAGCGCAGCTTTGCGTACAAATTATGTTTATAGCTTTTAGGTGGTCGACATCATATTAAAAAAAATATTTTTCTGTTTGTGTGTAAAAAACATCTCATATAAAATTACGATTAAAATTGTTGGAGAAATGTATAGAATTAACGTCAAACATAAACGTCATGACTTTTCATTTGTAAACGTAGATTATGACTGATGACAAAAGAATAAAGGTTTTCAATTTTTAATGGCAATACTTCGTTCCACATAATATTAAGTTCCACTTTGACGGCTTTGTTTTACATTTTCAGATTAAAAGCAAAACTCTGAAATTAATTTGAACAACTTAATAATTTTTGTCATATTAATTATATTCGTGAGATACATATTATTTAATGGTAATTTATATCAACAAATCTTTATATATTTCATTTTAAATGATTTATTAGTTGTACTAGCATTCATCAACAATTTGAAAAAAACCATTATCAAAAACGTTCAAAATGTCTTCAGAGGAAAAGTGAGTACATACATATTTGCTGTTCCTTTTTCAAGAGTGAAAAGCGAAATTGTTTTGTTATACATAATATCCATCAAATATTTAACAATTGTAATCAAACTACTTATGCTTCTAAACTAATAAAAATTTCAAGATTCTAATTGCAAAAATATTTTCCAAATTATAAATTTATTTTTTTTTCTTATAATTTTATGTAATTTGATACACATGTACGCACATAATGTTTTCGCACTTACTAGTTCAAATTCTGCATTCGATGCTTTAAATACTGAAAGGTATCCTAAATCTGATTTCAAAATGAAAAAACATAAAAAAAATAAGAAGCACAAAAAAGGTTCCAGAATGGAAAGCGAAGTAATGGATAATCATACTGATTATAATAGACCTGGTCATAAGAAACACAAAAAAAATAAAAAGAAAACTAAAGAAATTGATTCCAGTAAGGAGAAAGTTGATAAATCTTATTTAAAAAAGCATGAACCGAAACCAATGACAATTGGAGATAAATTTAGTGAAATAATGAAAAAATCATCAACAGATAGTTCTTTATTAACATTAATTGAAAAACAGAATGGACAACCTCTAATTATTAAGAAACCAAATGTTTCGACTGACCCTTGCAGTCTTGTTGAAGAAATTACAAGGACATTAAAAGCGAAAGTTCTCCCTACAATGGAAGTTGTTTCATCTGGATCTGAAAGCCCAGTGTAAGTTCATTGTTTTTTTAAATTTTACTTTGTCAATTATAACAATGTTTTTAGCCCTAAAAAAATTTGCGTTTAACTTAATTTTTTTGAAAACTTATTAATCCTTTAATATTCTTTAAATGTTTGTAATAGTTTTCATCATTGCAATATAGCTTTAATTTTTTCCAATTTTCGTTTAACTATTGTGAAACAATTTAATGTTTAAATTTCTGACCATGTAAAATACTAAATTAATGCTATATAAAAACGTTTCTATTTAGAATTCCACCTGACATAAACAGTCCTGCTGTTTCCATTATAGAAGATGATCTTAACTTAGAAGAATTAATGCGGCAAAAAGCACTTCTGCAAGCTAGTTTAGGTGCTTATATGTCAGAATCAGAAGGAGAAGATAATAAAGACGATCAAAACAAAGAGAAAGACACGAGCCAACTTTTTAATAAAAATGAGAATGATGTTTTAGACGTTTTACCACATAAGATTGAATTACCAAAAACTTTAGTTCTAAACAACACCAAAACTAAAGATAAACCTGATGTAATTTCTTTAGATGGCTCCAGCGACGACAATCGTACTCCTATTACAAATATTGAAGAAAAATCAATCAAAGAAAAAATTGTTAAAAAAAGAGAAAAACGAGAAAAGTATAACAAAAAGGAAAATGAAGAAAAGTTATCGAAAACAGAGAAGGCAAAAGATAAGTTAATTCACGAAAGAGATCGAGAAAGAGAAAAGGAAAAAGAGAAGCATAGGGATTATGATTACGAAAGACAAACTAATTATCGTAACAGTTATAACAGTAATTATTATAGACGTGAAAGTGATTATAGAAACAAAGAAGATAATCGTGCAGAAGATAGAAGAGAAAGCTTACGTCGGAATGAAAGCTATGATCGCAGGCGTAGCCGCTACGACAAAGGAGATAAGGGAGAAAATGATCGATATAGAGAACGTGATAGGCGTGTACGTGATCGAAGTCATAGCAGAAGTAAACAAGAATCAGACATGCGACGAGAGAGAGAACGTCGTGACCGCGAACGCGATCGAAATAGGCGCGACCGGTCGAGTAGAGAACGTGGAAGACGAACGGAAAGAGATAAATACAAAGATTCTTTAAGTGAAGGTCAAAAAGTAGAGCCTGAAGCTTCAAGTAGTGAAAATTCAGTAATTGATGTGGATTTAGATATTCAGAGTGACACCGATGATGAAGAGAAAATTATTGAATTGCGAAGAAAGCGGAGGGAAGAGCTCTTAAAGGTAAATTTTATTAGTAAAATTACTTGGACAATGTATGTTTAAAAACTACCTCGTTAATTATTGAATCATTTATGAGCTAAATTATTAAACCACTGGTTTTTTAAATACCTTACTCATTCTTTCTAATCCATTTTTTGCAGAAACTAGGTACTGGAGCAGAAATCTCTTCTGACACTAATAATTATTTCATGGAAAAGTCGGAAGTCCACCAGGAAGAGTCTTTAACTCCCCCACCGCCGAAAAAGGTTAAACCAGATGACGTTTTAAAAAAGAACAAAGAACATAGTAATAGCGATAATAGAAATATTTCAGAATCTGAAACAAACACGAAACAAGAAGATAAAAATAACAAAATAAGCTCGAAGAAGAATGAATGGGATATGTTTGCAGATCAAGATGTCGATTCGAATTTCGATGTAAGATTACTTTTATTATTTTGATAAAAAAAAATTTCTCTTAATTTTCATTGATTTATTATTTTTTTTTTTCACTGAATAAATTTTTTGGCTTCAGTCTCCGAACACCATAATTTCTACAAAAAATCAAATTGAAAATCCAGCCCTAACAGACAATTGGGATGATGCTGAAGGATACTATCGAGTTCGTATAAGTGAAATCTTGGATAACAGATATACTGTGTATGGGTACACAGGCCAAGGTGTATTTAGTAACGTTGTTCGAGCTAGAGATCAAGCAAGAGGAAATGCAAACGTTGCAGTAAAAATTATACGAAACAATGAAATAATGTAAATATTCATAGATCTCAAATATTTTAAAAAACTTAATTTTTTTTATTTAATTTTAGGCATAAAACAGGTCTTCGAGAGTTGGAAATTTTGAAAAAATTAAACGACGCAGATCCAGAAGACCGTTTTCATTGCTTACGTTTGTATCGTCATTTCTTTCATAAACAACATTTGTGCATGGTTTTCGAACCATTGGCTATGAATTTAAGAGAAGTATTAAAAAAATATGGTAAAAATGTTGGATTGCATATAAAAGCAGTTCGAAGCTATACTCAGCAATTGTTATTGGCCCTAAAATTGCTTAAAAAAACTGGTATTTTGCATGCCGATATAAAACCTGACAATATTCTTGTAAATGAAAGTCACTTAATATTAAAATTGTGTGATTTTGGCTCAGCTTCTACTGTAAGCGATAATGAAATTACGCCGTATCTTGTATCAAGATTTTATAGAGCTCCTGAAATTATACTTGGAATGCAGTACGATTATGGAATTGATATGTGGTCGGCGGGATGCACGATATACGAATTGTATACTGGTAAAATTCTTTTTAGTGGAAAAAGTAATAATCAAATGTTAAAATATTTTATGGATTTAAAAGGTAATTTGATTTTTCGTAAAACTTAAACGAAATAATTTTTATACATTCATATTTGATTTTAGGCAAAATACCAAATAAGGTAATAAGAAAGGGACAATTTAGAGATCAACATTTTGACCAAAATTGCAATTTTCTTTATCATGAAATTGACAAAATCACAGAAAGAGTAAGTATTTTTTCTTTTAATGTTTATTTAGTTGCGGCCTGTGAAATAAAAAAATTATTTTTCTATAAAAGTCTCTGTTACATTTTTAATTATTATCATCAATATTTTAAATTAAAGTAAAATTAAAAAATTTGTACGATGCCTATAAGTGTATAAATATTTTGGAAAATCAATTATATATCAAAATACATTTGTTTTTCTTCGATAGGAAAAAGTTGTTGTAATCCCAGTAATTAAGCAAATTCGAAATTTGCAACAGGAGCTTATAGCAGATCAAAATTTACCAGATGATCAATATAGAAAAGTTACACAATTGAAGGATTTGTTGGATGCTATTTTCTGTTTAGATCCTGCTAAGAGAGTTTCATTAAATCAAGCTTTAACACATGCGTTTATTTTAGAAAAAATGTAAACTACAACTGGATAAATATATCAATTTTATGATTGTAATGGAATGTTGCGCTTTCTAAGTCAGCATTTTCTGGGAAAAAATATACATATAAACCATGTAAATAATATAAAAAAAAAAACAACTTTATAAAAATAAAATCTTAATTTAAGTTATATAGTAAATAATCGAATAGTTTTTCAATATTTTAGCAGACTTAAAAAAAAATTAAAAGCGATTAAACTCCAAATGTTATTCTTTAGTTATTAGTTCTAAGAATTCAAAAAATCTTTTATAAATTTCATGTACACTCATAAAACAGAACACAAAAAGAAAAAAAAATGTATATTAGAATGGTTTTTAGTTTTTGGTTAGTTTTATAATTTTTTTTTTATTTAGTTAAATTAAAAAAATAATCTATAAATTCTATCAAAGAAACAGATATAGGAATAAAACGATGTTTGATAGAATTTTTCAAAACCTTAATTAGCAAACATATATGTATTTGGTTGATACAAATGGAATAAATATAGTAGTTCAATTTTTGTTTTAATTGAAAGATATTTATTTATATGTTTTATGAATATTTTTAAATTATATTTTCCAGAAGATGCCAAATTGTAATTAAAGAGATGATGTCAGATAATGCCAACAAGGCTATGTGCAAATACGTATAACTAAATTCTCAATTAAAAAATAAAAATTCTTCAAAATAAGTGCAGATCATTTGTGCTTTGTTTGGCAAACATTTTCAGTGAGAGGTAGTGAATTATTAAAAAACAAAAAAAGTTTGACTTTTTTTTTTAATAAGATCAAAATATATTAATATACTTTTTATAGAGGAAATAAAATTAATTACAGTGTAAAATGAACATTGAATTTAAAAAATAATTGAATTATTTGCTATGATATGTGTATATATATTAATTTAAATAAGATGAATATTAGAGAGTAATTTTTTGTCAAAACTGACAAAATAATTTTTAGTTCTAATTTGATTCGAAAAATATAAATTATAAACTTATTTTTTTTTATTTTAAATACATAATTATAATTGAATTATATACAAAAATTATAAATATTTTGTAATACATATTTAATATCTATTTATTTTTTATATAGACAATATCGTAGCATTTAGACTTTAATTCTGAAATTTTGATAAATTTGCGTTATTTTTTGTCCGGAACTAATGTCCTTTTATTATGAAAAATTTATTATTAAAAATCTTTTTTTCTAATTATACTTTTGTTTCCAGAAAATTTGATGAATGCAGTATTATATTGCTTTAAATACTTGATGGTTGATTGAAAGAATCGTCTTTTTTGTTACATCGTAAGTTTAAAGAGGTTTTCAAAATTTTGTTTTATTATGATAAAAGAAAAAAAAATTTTTAACGCATCATGTTTGATAAATGTTTTTTTTTTTTCTTTATTTTTTAATTTTTTTTTACAGGTGTTCAACGTACATTATACAAAGAGTGAAGAATATGAGCTTAATCATTCCATATTGAGCATTGAGTTCACATGTATGTAAATATTATGCTGAAATCGTAAGAGAATATATTTTTTTAATTAGAATTTAAAGATCAAAAACCCCCAAAATTTAATTTATATATAGAACGTCAATGATTACTTTTTCGTCTAGTTTTAAATCGCATTGAAATTATTAACCATTAGTATCAATTTATATATGAAATTCCCTAAAAACTCAAATTCCAAATTAAAAAAAAAAAAACACAAAGGAACTCAATCAGTACAATTAGCTTAAAACTAGCACTTTTATTTTTGAATCAAATCAAAGTGAACGCCTGCATCTGTTGAAAAAAAGAAGTTATTCACTATGATAAATTGTTTTTATTTGTAAAACTTAATTCGTAAAATACCTTTGAGCTAAAAAATTCGAGTTTTTAAAGTAAAATATTTCTTTTTAAATAATTTAAATCATTTACAAATGATTTTTTTGATTAAAACGGCCTATGAATTCATGTCATTGGGTGACACCCTTTTGAGTAGAAAGCAAAAATTAAAAATAATACTACCGAGCAAAATAATAAAATCTATTAAAGGTGTCAACTAAAATGAATTATTACCAGTTGGGTGTTTTGTACCCACCAAAAAATAGCAAGAAATGCATATTGGTATATTGGAATGATGTAATGGCGGGTGCCACAAAGTTACCATATATCTTGATTTAATAGAAATATTTTCTTTTTAAAAACGGATTTGTGGGCAGTATATCTATTTTTCTCCAAGTGCTTCAAATCTGCGTAATATAGTATTTTCGTCGACAAACAATTTTCGTTTTGGAACTCCTATTATTAATGCTATCGTAATTAATTAACATATTTATTTTCCGATTCGCACTGGATACGAAACCAATATCGTTTTAATTAAAGGCATGGTTTTTCAAATGATTAAATATTGTTTTTACTTATTAGATTAAAGTTATCAATGGGGATAGGAGCTAGAAAACTGGAATACAAAGACCTAAATAAAATTGTGGGAACTTCACACCTTATACTGTGAGGACGATAAGATGCAGAAAACAATCAAAAGAGCCTAATGTTGCAAAAGATTTAAAGCTCTACAGTTTTGTTTGGAAATTTATTTCAAAATTGGAAACTTTAAATTTTAGCTTCAACAATAATCTATTCAACAATTATATTTCATGTCATATCCTAGATTTCGAAAAATGTGCCTTAACTTAAAAACTATTTAGTGAATATAGACGTTTGGCAAACCGGTAAGAGAGTTCCTAAAGGACTTTTTGATAACTTTTGAATTTTTGATAACTTTTAGGCGTGTTTAAACATACACTATTTTTATTTTGAACAGTTATAAATTAAGATTTAAACAGTTATAATATAAGAACCTGCCTCTCTTAGATGATGTTAAACCTTCCTCTCTTACGTGATGTCAAAATAAAATATACATAGTTTCATGTATTCTCTTTCCTTAAAATTACATGAGTAAATTATTACGGAAGCGTAGTACATTCATTAGTTTCAGGACTTTTAAGGATTAAATAAGATAAGAATCGCAAATTTAAATTATTTTACAGAAAAAAAATCATCACATAATTAATTTTTATGATGTTGATCATGGTTTGGAATGTTTTAAAATAAAGAAATTAAAATTTTTTAAATTTCTTTTAAAGGCTGTCCGTAAACAACTCTAGAAGTGGATTAGAAAATTTTTAGTAAAATAAAATACACACATATACACATTATTTTTTCTTTTAAAATTAAAAACAAATAAAAGTCTTTAAGATTATCGTTTCAGAATACAGTAGCACTAGTACCCACCACGCAGAGCCCCAAATAAAGTTTCAGTTGTAAATTTGGACATCAATATTTAATATTTTCCATGATTTCAACTTGAAATACATAGATACCTAGATACATATAAAACATAAGCCATTTTTTTTTTTAATTATACTTGAAAATAAAAGTTTTCATTAAAATTATTTTTGTGTTAGTTTTTTCTTTATGAAAGTTTCGGAACTAAAAGATTTAATAAAAATAAATGTAATTTCGTATTTCTACTGCAATTGAGTGTAAGAGATAAATATTCAGATATGTAATGTGTTTAGCTAGTACCACAGATATTAAAAAAAATATATAGTGCCCTTACTATGCTTATATAATTCTTACTAAATTTTAATTTAGTTAAATACATATTAGACTTGCAACAAGTCTCTATAATACTCTGTATTCTAATTATAATTTTCGCAGTAATGAATGAACCATACCCCTAAAATAATTCGTTTTCTGTATCTTAATTGAAAATTTCGAAAAAATTGAGTTTTCTATCTCAGTTTTACGTATTTTATGCTACATAAAAAAGAACAAGGATTTTTTGTAGCATTACAAGCAATGGACAACGTAAGGCGCACATTGGGACGGTTTGCCATTGCAGTACTTTCAAATAATTTTAAAACAATCAAACTACTTCTTATGGAGAAATAATGCATCTCGGAGCATATGTGGTTTATACCATATATGCTAAACATAAAAATGTAGCAAAGACTCTGATGTTCTGTTAGATCGTTTTTGATTTTCATGCTTTTCTCAGCAAAGAGGTTCACAAGTCTGAATATGCTCTACAATTTCAGTTTATTCAAATTTGTTATTATTTAAGGTTTCATTTGATTCCGAACTGCGTTCTCAAATTTTTTATACATATATACCTTATAGGTATGTAAATTTGCCTCTCATGTCATTATTTTTTTTCATGTGTTTAGCGACAGCATCGAAAAATAATTATAAATATAGCATTAAAAAGTTACGAAAATAAAATTTAGAGTAGATAATATAAATAAGTGCTTATGTATGAAGTTTAAAATAATATAAAATAAAATTATACATGAACATACACATACAATATAAAGAGTAAATAGAAAATGTCGTTCTGCATGGTTAAATGCCGTAACATTGACAAATTTAATTATAATTTGATATTCAATTTGGGCTTATTTCAAATTTTTTTTTTTGTTTTTTTTTTTGGGGTGTGGGAAATTAAAAACTTTTTGTTACATACGAGATTTGATCTTGAACGTCCAGAGTATCAAAAACAAAAAAAAATAATCATATTTTTTTAATTTTCCTTCCTAAAGAAAAATGTTCCAATTCCAATTTTTAAAAGCTAAATTTCACTATTGACTAAAAAATAATAATATAATTATTGTTATAAATAAATAAATTTAAAATATGAGTTAAATTTCTCTCATTAAAAAAAAATTTTTCTTAATAGGTATTTAGAAATTTACATTGCGTGAACTTTTTCCTAGTTGGAGAAATTATTAATAGAGAATTCAATCTGAAATCACAGGTGTGATTAACCAATCCGAGTACACTTTCGGAACTATGACACTATCTTTCATTTACTTGGATATACATACTTATATTTACATATATAAAATTTTTCTATAAAATTATTTCCATAATCTTCTCTGAAATTTGAAACTCATAATATAATGTGCTTATTTTTATCGCACTATTTTTCTGAGTACAAGGTAGAATATTTACATGTTGTTATATATGTACATAATATATTAAATGTAATTATTAAAGCCATATTTCAGCCGCTGATAATTTTGATAACCGTTCTAATGAAGTTTTTAATAAATATTCTTTTACTGAATTCATACGGCATATCTGCAAAATATTTAACTGATCCAATACGAGTTTACAAAATCTAGTTCTAATTTACATTGTAAATAGTCTTTCGACCTGGTCTAGGACGCTCAATGGTTTATGTATATGATGATGGTAACAATCTTTATCCTTTACTTTCCTTGAAAAGTATCAGCCTTGCAGATACGATTACAAATTGTGTTAAGGTTTTGGTAAAAAGCATCATTTTTCAAACATAATCTCTTATTATGGTAATTCTGGAATTTATACATTTTACAATATTTGAATTAAAATGTCCTTAAATCAAAGTAATACATGAAAATTTAAGTTTAAATATTAACATTATGCACATATGTAAGTATAACATTGTATGTACATAAATGGACTGTGTGTACATATACATCTTACTTTTTTAATCGCTATCAGTCAATAATCGGTTATTGACATGTAAGTTTGCAAAGTCAGAAAATACGCTGTATGTAGATAATGTGTATGCAAATGTGTGTATAATATGCAAAACAGGAGACGGATATGTATAGAAATTTTAAGTGTTTGCTTCTTGACACGATAAACGTGTTGAAAAAGTTAAATTTATATTCGATGTTCACATTATTCTTCATTTAAATTCTTTTATTTCTTCAAGGGTTTTCTAAAAGAACAGTCAGTCATTCTTATTATTAAAATATACATATGTACATACATATATAAGAAATAACTAACAATAACATTAAGAAAAAGAAGAAAAGGAAAATCATTACTAATTTGGAAGAAATTTTTATCTACGTAATATTATGTACATGCATACGTATGTATGTATATATGTATGTACAATCTAATAAAAAAAGAAACGATCAATTCAAGGACCCTTTTATCAAACACTACTGCATTAAATATTATAATGTTAGATATCTATGTATATACATAGGTATGTATGTACATACATATGCACGTATATATGTATGTTCACGTGAAGCAAAATAATATGTAATATTAAGTTTTAATAATAAGAAAAACCAAAGCTTACTATGCATATTTATTAATTACAATTTCATCTTCTCTTTTAGCTTAAAAGGAAAAAGAAAAGAAAAAAAGGCTTGTTATATACATACATACATACATATAATTAATATTATTATACTTATAATTATTATACACTGTACATACACTCATATGTATGTACAGTGGAGTCCGCTTATAGTCACACAAAAAATTTCATAAAAATGTGTGACTATAAGCATCATATGCCTATAAGCGTCAGTAGAAAAAAAAAATTTATAAATAAAACTCAAAACTTTATTTTTTTTTTATTTAATTTCAAATTAAGTACACAAATGTGACAGAAAAAAATATTTAAGTTACAAAATTTGCCGCTACAAATTCAACAACAAATATTGTAATTAAACTATTTGCCGTAAAGTAGGTAGTAAAACTACTTACCGCTTTAAAAAACAAGGCGTTCAGAGTATGTGACTATAAGCGACGTCAAATATATGAATTAAGCAATATGGTTCACAAAAAATACGATCCAATAACCGTATGTGACTATAAACGTTTGTGACTATAAACAAATGAAAATACATAAAAATATAATAAAAAAGATGTTGACAACGAAATTGTTGACTGTAACCGAATTATGACTATAAACAGTACTGACTATAAGCGGATTCCACTGTATACTGCGCTTCCTTAGCAATAATACATTGTATGCAGAAGGTGAGAAAAATTGTACAACTTAAATAAAAAGAAAAATGCGAAAAATCTGAAATTTACTAGTTAATTAATTAGTAATTATTGCTGACAATTAATTTTTAATTTAAAATTTAATTACAATACAATACGTTTTAAGTAATGTTTATGTATAACATATACATATGTACATACATATACATACATAATATAATTTATCAAAAAGATCACTTAGCACACATTTTTTTTAAACGAAAGAAAGTATTTTGATCACAATAATTCTGACAGCCGTCATAATTAAGGTTATTCTGTAGACATTTTAACAAGCAAAACAATCATTATTTATTATTATAATTAGAACAATTCCATACATACATTCATAACTATCTAATATTCTAACATATTAGAAAGTGAAAAAAAGTAGAACAAAGTATCATAAAAAAAAAACAAAAACGGTCTAATAATAATTATGTATATCGTATACGAATCATACAAATACATATTTATGTTGATCATTAATTCCTAACCCTTTATTCCGTAATGTGATATACAATGACACAAGTTTTTTTTTTCTTTGGCAATAAAGTGAAATTATTTTAAAATTATCAAATGTATATAAATTTTAAATTAGTTTTTATACATTACTATAAGTAGATTCCCTACGCACAAACGTTAAGTGTGATCTATCAAACATCTATCATATATTATGAAAAAATAATGCAAATCGGTGATTTCATACTGTTAAGGTGATTTGATGAAGTTCGTCTTTGACCCTTTTAAGATTATACTAAATTTATCCGATTGTTTATAACCAATCACAAAATTATTGAAAAAAAAAAAACTTGAATAAATTATTTCACTTGAACATCGCTCAAAAACGTTACTACAAATTTTTACCCATAAAAGTTTTACTGGAAAATATCACTCAAAAACTTCAACTCATGAGGAAATTATTAAAAAATCATGCAAAAAAATATACAAATATGTGTGTGTGTGTATTTGAAAAAAAAAAAAACAAAGTAAAAATTTTGATTACGCTTTTATGCCTTGCCTAGACTAAACTAATGCAAATGAGAACGTGAATTGAGAATAAAAAGTGTCCAGTCCTTTCTTTATATTACGTCAAGAACTATGTAGCAAAAATGCTTATTCATATGTACGTATGTATATATAAATATGTATATTTTTTAATGTACACATTATATATTACCAACAGTACAAATTGGATACAAAAGTATAAGGCGTGTGTATTTTATACATTATGACATATTTTGTGTAGAATATATGGCTAAGGCTAGCACATGTATGTACATATGTAAATACAAAATTAAATTATTCTTTATAAAAAAAACGAAAATAACCAAAAAAAAATATTTTTCATTGTTGTATGAAACAAAAAAAATAAAACCAAAATAACAAATAATATCTTAGTACAAAAATAAAGAAAACGAGACGTATTTTGTGGCAAGACTCGTACATATCGTAAGCATTATACGATTTTACGAAATTATTGTTTGTATATATGTAGAGGCTTCAGTTAAATACTTATGCAATCGCATTATTATTGCTTATGATTTTATATATGAAGTTTACACCTATATATAAGAAATCCATACGTACATATGTATGTATGTTAAATGTATGTGAATATTTTCCACATTTAAAATAGGTACATATGTAAATATGTATGTATGTTTGTACAATATTGTGCTGCCGAGCACTGTACTGTGCTGGGGATCACATATTGCACAAATACATGAGAGTAACGGTTAACATTTTTATTGTCACATTTTATTTTACATCTCACCATTCCTTTAAGCATATGTAGTTTGTTTAAATGTGCTCAGTGTTTGGCTCAGTTGGTCATGTCATGTTGTAAAGGAACAAAGCGAAAAATAAAAAAAAAAAAAACAAAACAAACCTAGAATAAAATACAAAAAGTTGATAATAAAAATTTATTCCTATATTTTTACGAGGCTTCAAAAAAAAATTTTTTTTTACAGTATGCACATTGTGTAAACATACAATTAATATGAGAGTATCACATATGAATATATACATAAGTATATGTCATATGTATAAATTACAAATGTGTTTGTAATACTCGCTTTTGGAAGAATACACAATCACACATACGTACATATTTGTATTTACAATGAAATGCTGAATTCTATATACAAAAAATTACTATTTTTAAAGAAAAAAAAGAAAAAATCAAAGCAAAAACAAAAAAAAAATAATGAAATAGGAAGAATTTCACACACAAAAACATATTCACACTTTTAAAAATTTCATTCGGTTGCCGTTGCCGTTGTTTACTGTCAGTTCAGCAAAAATTTTATTCAGTTTATTGGAAGTAATATCGTCGTGTGGTTTGTTGAATTTTTTTTTGAAACCAAAGAGTAAAGATCCAAATTATATTTGTGTGTATTTATTAGTTATTTTTAGTATTTATTTTTTTTTAATAAGAGAAAAAATACCGGGTAATTGATTCAAAAGATCTTATTATACATAATTATTTTGTGAATACTAGTAGCTACTATATAAAATTTGAAAAGTCAAAATTTTTATTGCAATAAAATATTTTTTTAATAGTACAAATTGTATTTGAATAAGTTTTATAATAAATTTTGTGTGTTCTCTTAAAAAATTATCAAATAAATAAAAAATTATTCATAAAATCTGAAAAAAAAAAAATTAAATTGTAAATAAAATAATTAAAAAAATCACAAAGCAAATGTTATATAATTAAATAATTAAAATATAATATGCGTATAACACTTTAAAATTTTAAATTTAATGAAATCCAATTAATGTTAATAATTTTAATAGTTTTCTGAAATTTTTTAAAAAATTAAAAAAATAATCAGTAAATTCTTGTTTTATTTTTGAAAAAAAAAAATCAAAATAATTTAATTATATAAAATATAACAAAATAAAAAAATTGTTTTATAATTACAAAATTTTTTTATTCTTATTACTTAATATTTAATTGAAAAATTTAAATGATAAATTTAAAAATTAAATATTAAAATATTTTTTATAAAAATTTTCTTTTGTAATTATAAAACTAAAAATTTTAAAAACCTTTGACTTTTTAACTTTTAAAGAATTAGAACAGTTATTATATTCAACCGTTATCAACTGACAACCGAATTTTATATATTATTTAATCTACACGTTATTTTTTGTATAACTGTGAGAATAAGAAGAAGAAGAAGAAGAAATAAAAATAAAAATAACATAAAAGAAAATATTATTTAATGCAACATACTTACAGATGTACAAACATATTTCTTTGAATTACAACAAGTCAGTTAAGCTTACCAATTGTACATAAATGTAGTTATTATTCGTTTTAATATCATCTACACATCTACATATGTATAAATTTGTATTTGAAGGTAAATTTTATTTTAAATTTAAAATTATAATAAAAAAATTGAGGTACGAAAGGTGCCATACCTATCTATTTAATTTCAAGAACGGATAAATTCGAAAAGTGCTGATAGGTATAACCCAAAAAAAAAAAGAAATTTTTTATCTCGCAGTAATTCTGGCAACTTGATATATTAAGTTTATGTGCGCCTATTTATTTGTTTTTGCATTAGTCATTTTGCATTTATCCGTTCTTGACATTAAAGTTAAAGAATGTTAATTGTACTAACGCAATATTGTATTTGTGCATTTGCTACGAAAGCATTACTTATGGATATTTTGTTAATTTTAAATTATTTAATTTTTTCTTTTATTTTTTATTGAAATATTTCATGCAATAAAATGGTGTTTATAGTATTGTAAAACATTTTGGTACGTTACTAGGGGGTGAATTTAGATGGAAATTATTTTTATATTTGTATATGCAATTGTACACATCCATTTTAACGAGTAACATACATACATACATATAATAGTATACAATACTTACCAATATATGCACTTATGATATTATATACTTTCGAATCCGTATCGTGTTTATAAAATGTCAATCAATGTGTTCGATTGCGCATGCAATTAAGCTTGGATTCACTAAGTTGCATTATTGCATCTTCATATTAAATTTGAACTTCAGTTCAACTATTGAATTAAGCCGTTTAAATTGCTCTTATAAACATTCGTTGCCGCAAGTTTTTTTTTTTGGGTATGCTTTAAAATTTTTTTTCGATGATTGTTCCTGCGCGGTAATTTCTGTAGTTTACATTTAAATACATGGAATATATACTGTATACCGTATCCATTTAGGTTTAGAACTAAAGTTGCTACATCAACATTTCTTGAAAAGAGAAAAAGAGGATCTATTCTAATTAAAATTATAAGATTCCCGTAATTATAAGATTCCCTTAAATAAAAAAACGATTACCATAAATTGTGTTAATAACTGATTAAGTTTTAAATTTGTAATTTATTGGGATTTTTGGTTGACTGATAAACATCTGATAAGTATATGATGTTTTCGATTACGGACACAGACCTAATGGGAAGCAATACTTGTAACAGAATTTGTAGACTGCGTAAGCAAAAAAAACTTAGTTTTCGCTACTGTTTAACGCCGACTTAGAAATTTTAGTTTTAATGTAGAAATTTTAGCGCAGCGTGCATAAATGAAAACCCCCAGATTGAAACCCTATATGCACTCATAATTTAGTGTTCATTCGGTTCGGATAAATTTTAATACCGCTCATTTTATAAATAAGCTCTAAGGGTGGAATTAAAATGAATAAAAATTAGATAAAAATTAAGTTAATGTGCAATAGATTGTTTGCACTAAATTAGAAGAAGTTGTAAATCAATTAGGTGTATGTCGAGAGTTAAGCTCAATTTCTTTAAAGCATAAATTGTGATTTGAAAATAAACACGACCGTAGACCTGTACTTAAAATTTAAAACCAAATTACAATATTCATGGGTCAATGAAGTATGTATGTACGTACACAAAATTCTGTATGAATATATTAATTGAGTTAGACAATAAAAGTTTTTTTATTGAAAAAATTTTTTTTTTGGCATTACTATATTTTAGCCTGGATGTGATTTCCACTGATGAAACCTTGTGTGCTTGATCCGAAACAATTTTGCACAATAGTTCTCAATTCTTTTGTTAAAAATTATTTTTACTTGTTAATATGTTTGTATTGTACATGTTTCTATTTTAAAATAACAAACAATTATTAATTTACTATACAGATCTATATTATGTATGTTAACACTTACATGTATCAAAGTAGGAACATATGTTTGTAATATTAGTTTTATATATTTATATGTCTATTTCTTTTAAATAAATATTTCGATTGTCAAAATTATGTATTAAAAGGTATACCATGTTAAAGACCACATGTACACATACATATGTATGTTTCATATTTTAGTAATTCTTAATATTTAAGTGCCATCGATCATAAGATCATGATAGTGGAATAGTAGTATAGAAAATAGTCATCATAATAAATTTTTTTGTATGAAATGAAATGGAAAAAATCATTGGTCCCTAAAATGTATTTTGATATTTACCTACATAAGGTACCATACACATATTGTACATAAAACTATATTTTACTCAGATTAAATAAAAATAATCAAATTCAAATTAAATGGTAGATTTTGTCTCGTATATGTAAAGAGTAAGTAACATAGAGTACGTGCATATTTAGTTTATGTTAACATCTCCACATTATGTACACATGTATGTAGGTAAATTTTGACGATTAAAATTTAATTCAAGTAATCTCTATCAACTCATCTTGCGAGCGCTAATATTGCTGAATTGTTTATACTTAAAATTAATTTTATCGTTCCGTTTTTTTTAACAGAAATTAAAGAAACTCATATATATATATATGATTTATATTTGTTTTAAAAACACAAAAACGAAACCTGTTTTGTTTGATTAATTAATTTTTGGTATTGACACCAAGTACAAATCCTACTTATAGTGATGCAGCGGTATAGTGATGCAACTATCGAGTTACTCTTTTCGATATTTTTCAAGTAGATTAGTTACATATGTAAGGTTAACACTATAATAAAAATTGAATCAATATAAGTAATTTGTTTGTTATTATTTCTTACAGCATTTTAAGTTCGTATTCCTGAAGCCCTAGTATTTAGCTCTGCACAAAATTTTACAAACAATCAAAATTGTTTTTTGAATCCATAATCAGGAACTTGGAACATGTACAATACGTATTCACATATACATGTATAATGCATACAAATTCATTTACAATGAATTTGTATTACATGACTTCGGGTGTACGTATATATATATTTTTAGGTAGCAAAATGAATGCTTGTATTGCTTTTGAAAAATATATTGAAGTACTATAAATTGCCACAAAGTTCAATGCAAAATTAACAAAAAAAAAAACAAAAATGTGCACCCTTCAAAATATTTTCATTTGTTCTTTTTTTTGCTTTTTTTTTACAAAAAAAGGGACCCCTTTTTTAAATTTAATTCATAATAATAATTGTATATATAGTATATTGTACATATATACAACACAGCTGCACATATATTTTGACATATACATTGACAAGAATATTTACATCTCTCCCTTCATTTTTATATTATTTTATTTTATATAGTATAAGCAATTTCTTTAAGGATTTTATTAAAAAAAAAAAAGAAAAAATTGTAATTTTATGAATACAGATAAAATAATCGAGCCAAAGAAGCATAGGAATAAAATTTATGCTAAACCAACATGTATACACATATATACCTACACTCATATAAAATATTGTTCAATACAATACAATTATAAATAGCAGGAATTAGGAAAGACGATCAACAATATTGTTGAGCACGTGAATGAAAGTATAACAAAAAAAAAAAAACAATGAAACCAAACAAACTTTGTTGTAAAAGCAAAGAACACCAACATTTGAAATTGTGTTTAATACTCTGAATATCCTGTACATACAAGAATATAATGTACAATTACACATATACAAATGTATATTGCTTTGAGTGTTATTTATTGGACAAAAAAGGAAATTTATTAAAAAATAACAAAATAAAGTAGGTAATAGAAGAAAAATAAAAATTATCTTCTTCTTTCTTGTTCAATAAAACTTATTTCAATCTCGTTTGTATTAAAATCATAACAACGTTTGATATATTACAAAGGTAGATGTGTGCATAGTATTTAAACAAAATTTTCCTGAAAACGAAGAAGAGCCGCTATAAAACTGGTTGTTTGAAAATAAATTTTTTGCATCAATCGACAATCAAATCAAAAACAAAATATTAAATAAATCCTAAACTTTCAAAATAATTTTAATACAATATGATTAAACAAGGTACTAGAATTTTCAATTTTCTTTTTATGCCTACCGAGCCCCTTGTTCCCTTTTCACGTCAACCTATAGGATGTTTTATGATTTCCATCCTCACCTACGTTGGCACTATATCTAGGCCTCTGACAAATTGTAGTATAGCAGCCACCTCAAGTCGCAAGACATCCATAGAGCTAGCTCACAAAACATTTCCAAAGCATCTCAACGAGCTACCGCCTCGTACTCACATAATAAGTGGTTCACAGCTTCGTTTTTTTCCAGACAGATCCTGCCCTCCACCTTGCCCATCTTTTTCATATGGATCATCGAGAGACACCCACCAATCAAATTCCGACGGCCAAGTATGGCCATCAAGTATGGTATAATTTAATCACATTCCCTTAGCAGTTTGGATCCCACTACATCAGACGAAAGAGTCGTAAAGACGACCTGGCCCAACTGTCCGATATAATAAAAATCCTGTCCGTATAAACGCCAGGTCACACAATTCAATAGCATATGTTGTTAGATAGTGTCCGAAGACACTTGTGATATTTACACCCTCCCCGTGCACATCACACCCACCTCATCAATTTTTTATTTTGGACAAGTACTGCTTTTAAAGCTTACAGAATGATTTAGTTAGATGATTAATTTTTCACGTTCTTCTGTGTAGTACTGCAACGATGTATACGTCGATACTATAATGATTACCGGTCTAACAATTTATTCAAGATTTGCGCTACATAGCCTTTTTTGGAATGATCCTACTCGTATCACATCTTGTCATTTTACAAAAAATACAAGCGTAATATTATATTTCTTAGCTTACAATAATACTTTTTATATATTATATTATACTATATATATATATCTGTAAATTGAAAAGCAATATTTCAATTGACCTAGCTGTTATTGTAATATCATTCCCATGATTGTTTAAATTTTTCTTCTCCTCCTGAACGCATGCAATAACATAACATAATATTGTAATTGTGAAACGTGTAAACAGTTTGTTTTTTTTAATATGAACAAGGGGATGTTTCAGGAGTCCTTTTAATTTAAGAAAATTTTTGATATGAATTTTTAATTAAAATTAACGCATGTGTAAATAGTGGGATTTGCAT